TCTGATTTTTCTTTTATTTCATACATATTGCAGTAGTTGAGTCATTAATTCTGATATTTTTATATTTTCTTTTAATTTCGAAATTCAGAATTTTGTAAAAAAAATTTTATGCATTATATTTTGTATTTTAATTCTGATTTTTTAATTTGTTATTACAAGTTGTAAAAATTAGCGTTTGTAAAAATTAGCGTGAATCAGAATTTGAAAATTATAATTTTGATTATTCAATCAGAATTCATAAAAACTTTGTTTCTGATTTTTTATTTATAGCCCCTAACTTTAAAATCAGAATTCATTTGTAATTCTGATTTTTAATTTGTTATTACAATTTGTAAAAATAAGTATGAATCAGAATTTGAAAAATCACAATTCTGATATATTCAATTCGAATTTGTAAAAAACTTGCTTCTGATTTTCTAATTTGTAGTCCTTCACTTTAAAATCAGAATCATTTTTCAGATTACAATTTGAAATTCTGATTTTTTAAAAGTACAATTCTGGTTTTGTAAAAATTACAAATCTTATATTATCATAAATTCAAATTCCGATTTTTCCATTTTTCTTTAACTTTTATATATTTCACTCTATCCGGTTGAACTTTATTTTTTTACAACTCTATTTTATTAAAACTTTGTTTTCTCTCACTTTCACATCTCCTTACAAGTTTGCTCCAAAAATTAGTTAAATTTTATAAATTTGTTTTTAATAAATAATTTTTTTTCTAATTTTTTATATGTAGAAAAAATTTTTTTCAAAATATTTTTCACAAAAAATATTTTTTAATATTCGAGACGATAATAAATAAAATTAAAAAAATAATTGTTCGCTCAATTTTTATTTTCGTTCCAAAAAGATAAAAATTAATTTTCAAATGCTGATTGAAACCCTTTAAACTTCTCCTCAAATTCATTTCTCAATTCCGGCTCCATTTTATTATAAATTTGTAAAACTTGTTGCCAACGTTCCTGATCGGGAACGGATTTATTATTTAATGTAGCAGAAATCTAAAAATTAATTTTTAGTCTTAAGAGAGCCACAAATTCTGTTGAACCTCTGCAAATTGCTCTTTAGCATTTTCACTCATTCCAGAGACCTTTTTATCTACCCTATCTCGGTCAGCATTGTTTTTATTATCGTTTTGCTTCATAAACTCTTTAAAGAGAATCTAATCAAAAATTTTTAATTTTTACAAATTATATGGACGAAGTTTCTACCTGTCTGTCCACATCCATTTTCTTTACAAGTTGTTCAATTAAAGCAACTTGTTCATTATAAGGACGATTAGGTTCGCGAATGATCTTTTTGTACTGAAAATTATTATTAAAATGCTATTGTTTCAGAAATTGTACAGGGTGTTTCAACTAAGAAATACTATTTGAAAAATTAATAACTTTTTTCTGCATTGACAGATTTTAAAGAAATTTGGTATTTTTTATCTTCATTTTATAGCATTTTTTTTGAAACAAAAATTTTGTCTAAATTCGAACCCTAACCTGAGATAATTCCGTACTCTACAGTTCTGTTTTTCTCTTTTTCCCCACATGCATTCTTACTTCCCTTTATTTGTTGCAAGGGGAGACAGACACTAGAGTAAACACTAGGCGATTGACACTACATTTTTAATACAGTATCCACTCTTCGTCATACGCAGCAAAATAAATGAAGTAAGATAGCACACAATAAAAAGAGGGAAAAAAGAGAACGGTAGAGTACGAAATTGAAACGAAATTGAAATACAGGGTTAGGGTTCGAATTTAGACATAATTTTTATGTCAAAAAAATGCCATTAAATATAGATAAAAAATACCAAATTTCTTTAAAATCTGTCAATTCAGAAAAAAGTTATGAATTTTTCAAATAGTATTTCTTAGTTGAAACACCCTGTATTTTTAATAAGGTTCGAAGCTGGTCTGGTCGGTTTCGGATATTCAAAGACTATCCAAGGATCGACAGTCCTAGGCAATGGAGTTACATATATCGTGGTCTATTCCCTGAAAGTCTTTGAATTTAAATCCTGGCAGAATCTTCCCAAATCTTCCTAAAAACCTACTCTTCCTAAACTTCCCCTAATCTTCCCAATCATTGCCCCCCCCCCAACCCTTCGGTGAAAAGGAGAAGACTTTGGACTTATTTCTCTCAACAATAAAAATATACTCTAAAAATTTTTTGTCATTCACCTCCTCTATAAATTCTTGTTGAGCCCCTCTAAGGAATATTGGAAGAGTATCACTCTCATTACTTCCATTTCCTTGATCAATTAATGTTTTCACTCCTTTCGCTTGTAAATCTTCAAAGGTTGAACTTTTCTGATCATTCTTTTGTGTTGGCTGGTTTCTTGATGGCTGTTCAATTCCTTTATTTTGTTCTACTCCAGTCTGAAATCCTTCTGGAAATGTTGAAGAAGCCTGATCATGAAATGGACGTTGTTGAAATCGGAAATATGGGTGTGGAGGAAATTGTGGATTATTAATCGTTGGCATTTGGAAAGACTAAATTTGATAAAATATTTTATTAATTACTCTAGATCAGTGTGGTAGTAGACACATAGCTCCTTAGTTGCAATGTTTTAAGCCGCAGTCAGGTATTATAAGCTTAGCTCAAATACACATGATCCCAGCACTAGTTTAAGCTTGAACTAATTAAAACTACAAATTCTCTAAATATTTCAAATTATTTTACGTTATGATAGAAAGGCTGCTGAAACATTCCTTGTTGATTCCTTAATTGCTCTGACTGTCCAAAATAATTATTTGGCATTTGTGGAATATTTTGAAACCCTTGTCGATGTTGATAATTCTGTCCAAAACCTGTACTAGCTTCTCCAAAATAATTATTTCCATTTAAAGGCCCTCTAAAGCCTTGGGGAAATCTTGGAAAATTATCTGAAGCAAACGGTACTTGTTGTGAATTATAAGGGGAAAATTGTGAAAAGGGGGGATATTGGGGTGGATAAGCGAATATTAGTAAAGAAATTATTTGTTGAGTTAACACAAATAGTAAAAAATAATTTTTGAATATCATCTTTCTGAAAAAAATTTTTTTAATGTTAAATAAAATCTAAATGAGCAATTTTAAACATAACATAGTAAACATAAGTGTTTATTCATTTTGTGTTTATTCAATTTTATAATTTAAGTTTAAACTTGAAATTATTTTATAAAGTTTATTTTATTAAAGTTTAAACTTGAATTTATTTTTAAAGTTTATTAATATACCTAAGTTTATTTTTTTCAAGTTTTCAAGTTTACACTTAGATTCTTAAATTCTTTCGCCAAGTTTATTTATAATTATTTTCAAGTTTAGACTTGAATTTTCAAGTTTATTTAATATATTACCAAGTTTATTTTTTCAAGTTTTCTAGTTTACACTTAAATTCTATCGCCAAGTTTATTTAAAATTATTTTCAAGTTTAAACTCGAATTTACTATATTTTCAAGTTTATTTAAATTTATTAAGTTTAAACTAGGTTTAAATTTCTCATATAAGTTTAAACTTGAATTTAAAACAAAGTTTACATTTACATTGTAAAATCATCAAGGGCAGGTGGCGTAGTGACAGAAGACCCACAGACAGAAGACCCAAGGACAGAAGAACCACAGCCAAAAGACCCACAGACAGAAGACCCACAAGGACAGAATACCCACAGACAAAAGACCCACAAGAAAATTTTTTAACTAAAACTTTAGAAAATTTTTCTTGAAATTTCTGAAAGAGATTTCCATTTTTCAAAACACAAAATTAATTCTAAAGTTAACCAATAAAATTTTTACCGTTAAATTTTATGGATGAGTTACCGTTAAATTTTATGGATCTTAACAAGTGAATCGGATATGTCAGGGAATTTAAAGGATGTAAACTTTTTAAGATTTTATAATTCCACTAATCCGCTTATATCCACCGATATCCCTCCATTTACTCAGAAATAATTAACTAATCTACTATTCCAAAGATCCCCGATGTACTTGCATATCCTTGATCGCTTTATCTGATTTTTTTAAACGACATGGACCGGATTTTCCGGGACGAAATCCCGAAAATCCGGGAAATCAAGATCCCTCTTCATTAAACAAGCTCCCCCGTTGTTGCAATAAGATTCCCCATTGTTAAAATAACATCCACGTTGTTGGAACAAACTTCCCGATTGTTAGAACAACCTTCCCTAATATTGAAACAACTTTCCCGTTGTTGGATCAATCTCTTATTAAGGAAAACAGAACTAACAACAGCAATTTAAAAAATGTAAAACAAAAAAGTTGTGGGTATTTTGTCTGTGGGTATTCTGTCCGTGTGGGTCTTCTGTCTGTGGGTCTTTTGTCTGTGGTTCTTCTGTCCTTGGGTCTTCTGTCTGTGGGTCTTCTGCGTCGACACGAGGGCAGGTCTATAACGATAAATAAAAAAATATTCAAAGCTATATTGGACACCTATATTTATTTTTGAAACAATGAATAAATGAACAAAAATAAAGTGAACAATGCTAAAATGAATCTAACTTTAAGGAAAATAATTTTTTCCAAATAAAATTGACTGGCACGTTCCATTATTTTTATTCGAGGTCATCCCCTCGCTGACCAAACAACTTTTTACTTGTTAAAAAAAGTGTGGTAAAAACAAAAAACAATTACGCAACCTTGAAAGAATTTATTATTTAGAAGACTTGTATGTATATGCGGAAAAGTGACCTAGAAATAATTTTTTTAATATTGAAAAAATTATTTCGATGACTCAGAGCAGAGGTGGGTCGGAACAGTCAGAGGTCTCAGAAATCGGAAGAGCCGGAAATCGGAACTGGCTCAAAAGTCAGAACTCGGAAATCGGAAATCAAAAATTTTTTTCGGAAATCGGAAGGAAAAAAACGTCGGAAATTGGAAGTCGGAAGTCTGACCCTCCTCAGGATTTCAGAGAATGGGAAGCATTATTCATAAAATTAGAAATTTTATTTTAAAACCAGAATAACAATATTAGTTAACTTTAAATTGTGAAAGAAATCAGAATTTTAAATTTTATATTCTGATATGGAATGTCCGCACAAAGTCAGGTGAACGAGACACTACATGTTCGAACTCAGCCTGGGAAATTCTTTTATCTCCATCCAGATCTGCTTCTTCAATAATACGGTCTATGATGAATTCTACTTCTTCGTCGCTCATCTTTTAATTAAAAAAATTTTTTTGATAATTTTAAAATAAATTTAATTTTATGTATTTAGCTATCCTGTTGAAGGGGAAAAGTTAAGCAACCATTCTAAAATTCTTTCTATTTTTAAAATTTTTTCCTAACTTCCAAGTCATTTTCTATTGGCTTATAAATAAAATTCTTTAACCTAAAAATTTGTTCTACCTCTTTCCTTGTAAGTGCATCAATCATTTGTCTTAGGTCCTCACGTCCCAGAAACTCGTCCCCATCAAAATCTATTGTTTAATGATTTAGAAATTAAAAAAAATTTTTTTTTCTAAATCACCATATATTCTAAAGGCATATTTCAATTTTAATTGTAAAGGAGCCATTTCACTGAATACAGAAAACATATCGAGAAAATCGTCAAAAGTTAAATTTCCACAGCCATCCTCTGAGAATACTTCACAAATTCTTCGACGGAAAGGATTCTCCTTTAGTAAAATTTACAGTAATCTCATCAAAATAAAGGATCAGTTAAGATAAACCTTAAGTTCAGGCATTCTTCCAACTTCCTCAAACGTCATTTTAACAAGTGAAGCTTGATTCCCTTGCATGTTTCCAGGCACTTTTTCGGGGTTAAGAGCATGAAAACGTTTATAAAGGCGAAGAATGTCTTTTTTAGTGAAGAATGTGCAATCCTTATAATTAATAAAATTATCAATTTCATTCTCATATATACCCCGTACACTTGGATTAGTTAATAGGATAGGCTATACTCTTTTGGGGTTGGGATTTGGTTGTATACCGTATTTACTCGATTAATTCCCCACCCTCAAATAATTCCCCACCCTCTATTAATTCCACATGCCACGGCTAGGTTGAAAAAATAATTCCCCAGGGGAATTAATCGAGTAAATACGGTAAATCCGCTGGGAATGATCGTTGTGAGGAGTTTTTGTTAGGGCGAGACTGGATATAGATGGCGAGCCAACTTCGCCAATTTCGAAAAGAATTAGTGGTCTTAATGGTCCAGTAATCTCATCAAACCTGATATTCATCAAGCTGTTCAGATGTAAAAACACCTCCTTTTGAAAATAAATGTAAATCTCCCAGTGCTGAGCGAGTATTGCCCATTATTTTTAATAATTTTGACTTCAAATAATGGTCAAATAATCAAAATTTAGTTGTCAAATAAATAAAAAAGAAAGGCTAAAAGTATTGATATATTTTAGCTTTCACCAGCAAACAGCCATTAAGTTTGCAAAAGAGAAACTTAAAAAGCCTTTCCTTCCACCCTCACTTGGAAAACACTCAAAATTGGCCATTGAGTTAGCTTTTGCCAGAGGACAAGAAAGATAAACGAAAGAGAGATTGAGTAAAATAAATAAGCAGGATTAAGCTGGCTGTCGAAAGAAAATAAAGCATTCAATAAGCAAGTACACTAAAGCTTAAACTTGATAATAACTTAATTTATAATTTGCCTATATAACTAGCAAGCATAATATTTACACAAACTTAAGCATGAACTTATAATTATTCAAAACTTTAATTTGATTAAAAGATCAATCTTAAATATTAACTTGATAAAACTTAAGAACAAACTTAAAAATAAATAAACTTAAATTCAAACTTAGAAATAAATAAACTTAAGTTTAACTTGAAAATGAAATAAACACAAGATAAATTAATAAACTTAAGAACAAACTTAAAATTAAAACATAAACTTAAGTTTAAACTTGAAAATAAGTTTGTTTTAATTAGGTTCGTTCTTAAGTTTATTTATTTTTCTTCTTGTGTTTATTTTATTTTCAAGTTCAAACTTAAGTTTATTTTATTTTTAAGTTCGTTCTTAAGTCTTGAGAATAAAAAATAAATAAACTTGAGTTTTTATTTGTAGCAAAAATAAATTTTTATAATATTTTTAAAAATAAAATTTAAAGAAAAGCATCACTATCCCCACAACTTGGGACAGATTTTTTCTGCTTTGATAAATCATTCTCATTTTTTACAATTTTTTTCTCTTCAATTTTGAATATTTGTTTTTCTTCTTGTTTATCTTCCCCAGCAATATTTAATAATTGGCTACTTCCAAAATGGGAAAGTAAACGAAGTTGGGAGAATCTGCTGGTTAAGCCGGCAAACATGGGGGGTGTTGAATGGGAAAATGAGCTTGATCTTGAAAAAAAATTTTTCGATTTTTTTAAAATTATTTCTCGACCTCTTTTCAAGCTGTTGTCCATTTTCTAAGTGTTGCCCATTAATTAGTCCATTACCCAAAAGCATAAGACGGCTATCATCTGTGCAACCTAGCGATGCTAACCGATGTTCTTTTAGTTTGGCAATAGTTGGGGAATTTAGACTGAAGCGAGTAAATATGAAATGATTAAAACCTCCCTGAAAAAGACTAGAGGAACTGGAACTATGCTTTACCCTATCCCAGAAGCCATGTTTGTCCCTGGACCCTTAATAAGCTACTCAGCGATGCTAACCGATGTTCTTTTAGTTTGGCAATAGTTGGGGAATTTAGACTTAAAAAATATAAACTGATTAAAGCCTACTTCAAAAGGACTAGAGAGACTTGAACTATGATTTTCTTATCCCAGAAACCACGCTCATCCCAGGAACCTATCAGGTAATTTTTATAAATTAATTTACTCTTTATCAGTCATTGCGGTTGTATTATTTGTTGTTATTAAGTGTAATGATCTCCTCCTTTTCTGAAATGCTTGGGCATGTTGTTGTCTCAATTCGCGATTAATTAAAGCATACAAAACAGGATTAGCAGCGGAGTTGAAGCAGACGAGGAAATGGGCAGCAAAGAAAACGGAACTTAGAGTTAGGGTTGACCAACTGACCTGAAAATAAATATTTATAAAATTTAATTTTTAAAATAATTTTGAAAATTTTTCGAAAATTTTTAAAAAAATTTCAGACACCTCAAAAAAATTTTTTTCAAAATTTTAACTATTTTTTTGATCATTTACACACTAGATTTTATTAGTTTCAAACTGCTTTTAACGTCTTTTTTTAATAATTTGGCTATATCTTCTTTAGTCGAGTGGTTAGTGTTCTTGATTTTCCCTTATATAAATTTTATTGTGGCGATGATGTGAATTCCCAAAAAGGCTTCTGCAGTAATGAGCTTAGTGATTCTATTCGCACACAACTGAGCCACTTTTTACAATTTATTTTTTATCAGAAAATTAATTTTTGTGTTAAAATATTTTTTTTTAATTTAAAAAAATTACGAACAACAATCAAGCCAAATTGAGACATTATATTTAAAAGCCAGTAAGGTGTCCAACCTTCAAAAAATATTTTTTTGGCATTTTTTGAATTAAAAAAGTTGAAATAAACTAACAGAAAAAATAAAATAGAATAACAGCAACAATTCTTTTAGTAACTTTGTGTAGTCTTGCAGAAGACACGGACGGACTAGGTGCATGCATATGCCCTTCAGAATGTTTGCGTATTGCTAGTGCATCATTACGCAATTTAATTATAACCTTGAAATTAATAAACATCAAGTTTTACAAATTGTAAAACTAGAAAATAAGCTTGAAATATTGTAAAATTGCAATTTATAAAGTTAAATAACCAAGTTGTAACTTTAAGTTTTATTTCAAGTTTAATTTTGTCGGAAATTAATTTAAAAATTTAAGTTTACAATTTAAGTTTATTTTTGTAAATATTCAGGTTTATTTATTTTTCTTTTTTTCAAGTTTACAATTATAATATTCAAGTTTATTTTTCCTATAAATCAATTTACAATTTTACAACTAAGTTTATTTTTTCTGTATATACTAAAAAGTTTATTTTTTATGTTTACAATTCAAGTCTATTTGTATTTTACAATTCAAGTTTATATTTTACTATATAATCCCTTACCTGTGCATAAAAGAAAGTAATTAACATTGCCGGAATTAAATATCCAACAGTAAATGTGTATAACATAAAGAAAGGTGAATTTGTATCAAACACACATTTGAGCACAATTTGGTGTGGTTGTGGTGGTGTAAAAGAATAATTACTAGGAAGATCATGTTGTTGTGAAGCAGCAATAATTTCTTCATCAACAAGTCTCAGTCCCGTAAGTCTATTAACTTGGTAAACTTGTGATTCTTTTAGGACGGGGTAGAGAAGAAGTGTGGCAATAAAGGTACAACTAGCTAAGACAGAAATTGCAACTGTATTTGTCCGCATTCCTATCGACCTTATTGGATAGCAGACGGCCATAAAACGATCCCAACTTAACACCTTTAAATTTTTAAGATAATAAATCTAAATAAGCTTTAAGGGAGAAAATAAAAAAAATATTTTAATTGTAATTACAATTGTAAAATTTATAAATCTTGAAGAGATTTGAAAATTACAATTTTACAATTATAAGCATATAAGATCAAGTTTAATTTTTATAACTTAAGTTTGATCTTAAAAATATTTTAAAATTAAAGTTTTATTTTATAAAACTTAAGTTTGATCTTAAATTGTTGCATATTCAAGTTTATTTTGATAATTTAAGCTTGAACTTAAAAATGCAATAAAATTCAAGTTTTATTTGTAAACTTAAGTTTGATCTTAAAATTTTAATTGTAAAAAAGTTGGTAATTCAACTTACTGTCATAAGAAATGAACTGAGCAATTTATTTACAGACTCGCCAAACCAGTATAATTTACACATTCCTCCCCCAAATATCCACTGGCCTTCTAACATTTCAAAAATGAGCATAGGTAAGTGCATAATTACAAATAAATCGACAATAGATAAACCTAAGAATAATTACCGAATTAATCTTAAAAATATTTATTACCCAAAACGTAAATAAAAACGTGCACAGCACTAGCTTGAGCAAGCATTTTCCTACTTGGACCGGCACCTGATTTTTGACGATTTCTATTTAATGTAGACAAAACATTTCCAATCATAACGATAACTAACCTAATTTAAATGAGTTTAATATAGATGCTTCAAGTTTATTTAAATGCTTCAAGTTTCAAAAATGCTTCAAGTTTCAAAAATGCTTCAAGTTTATTTTTTATTAAAACTCAGGTTGTTAAGTTTACAATTCAAGTTTATTTTCATTTTAATACTCATAAGTTTAATACTGTAATAAACTTAATAAACTTGAAACATGCTTCAAGTTTATTTTTAATAATATTCAAGTTTATTTTTGTAAACTTGAATTTTTATTTTATTTCAAGTTTATTTCATTTTTACAATTCAAGTTTATTTTCCTTTTAAGTTTACAATTCATATTTATTTTTATATTTGTTTCTGAATTTCTCTATTGCTTCAAGTTTATTTTATATTTACCCGTTGCCTAGAGTTCCCAGCAAAAATAGAATTGCATATCCAATACAAAATACAAGCTTCACAGTTCGTCTAGTTTGCATTTCCGACTCATCGGGTCTTTCATTCTCGTCCTCCCATTGTTCATCTTCCAAAGAATTTATATCCGCAAGAAATTGTGATTCTCCCAAGGAACTGGGCAAATTAGTAGAATTATTGGTGAATAAGGATGTTGATAAATTCATTAATAAATATTTTTTATTTTTTTCTGAAACTTTATTATAATTTTATTAATCGTAAAAATAAAAATATAATTGAAAATTAAAATTGTAATAGAAATTGTAAAGTATTAAATTTATTAAATAATCATTTGTAAAATAGAATTGAGATATTAATTTTTCATAGTAATTCTGCTTCAAGTTTATTTTAATTTATTTAAGTTTGTAAGCGCACACCTTGTTTCTCAAGTTTATTCAAGTTTATTTAATTCAAGTTTATTTATTCAAGTCTTATTAGAACTTAAGCTTGATCTTAAAAATTCAAGTTTATTTTAAATAAAATCAAGTTTATTACTGCTTCAAGTTTATTTTTATTTGTTTCACTTGAATTAAACTTTGCAAAACTTTATTAAAATATGTAAATAGAAAAACATGCCTATAATAATCTTTTAAATTATTTTATGAAATAAATATTTAAAATTCTAAAATAATTTATATTTATCTCTAATTAAAACAATATTTTTACTCAAACTTAATAAAATGCTTCATTATTTATTTTATTTGTTTAAGGAGACATTTGGTTTTATGACAAAAAAAATAAAGCCTGAAGCATTTGGAAATATATTTTTAAGTTTAAAATAACGAAAAAATAAAAAATAATAATTTTAAGTTTATAATAAAATTCAAAAAAAAATTTTTTTTTAATTTTTTTTTAATTTTTTTAGAATTTCCGATTTATTTGATAAATCTTAAAATAATTTTCTGAAATTTTTCTGAAAAAAATTTTTTTTTATTCTTGAAAAAAATATATCAATTAAAAAATTTTTTTTATTCTCCAAAAATTTTTTAATAAAAAATTTTTTTATTTTTCAAAAATTTTTTTCATAAACAAAATAAAAACAAGTATAAATAGCCGTGAGAATAATAATATTTATAATTATTATTAAAATACTCGGAAAATATCCATAACACCGTGTGTGGGGCGCTTTTAGGCATTCCAAAAATATAATAAAATGAAGGATGAGAGGATATATTAACATTCCCCTTTTACCCTTTTACCTCAAATTGAGTCAAGCCTTCTTGACGTGTCAGTTTATATCTACCTCCGGTTTGTTTGCCTAGATTTTTTTTCCAAAATTTGTTTAAAAATAAATACCAAGTCAGTTAAAGGAAGAAAAAAAAACAAAAAAAAATTTTTTTCGGAAGCGGCACCGGCTGACTTTTTTTTTATTTTTAATTTACTCAACATACACATAAAAACATCAAAAACCTTTTCCTTTTTTTTAAAAAAATATTTCGGAGGAAAAACATTTGGGGGGAAATTTGGGGGAAAAAAATAAATTTTTAAAAAATAATTTTGATGGATGGCAATATTAGTGTATACTTATTGCTTATGAATTTTTAAACAGAAAAAAAAAAGTTTATTTTTTTAAATATTTAATTGTTTTTAGGTTGGGATATTCAATAGTTTATCATAAAAATGAATATTTTATCTAGGCAATTATAACTGGGAGGGGTTGTTTAGGCGCGCAAAACGTTTGGCGCGAGGCTTAAAATTACAACTTAGCAGAAACCTAAATTCTTGAAATTTTTCAGAAAATTTTTTAACATAATTGCCTACATCCTCAGAAAATTTCATAATTTTTCCTCAAATATTTCTAAAGTTATGGTCGATAAACCAGAAAAATTAGGCATTTAGTCAACATTTTTGGCCAACGTTTTTGGCCATAACTTCTGAAATTTTAACAAAAATTCTGGGATTTTTAGAGAATGTAGAAGAAGATATGAGGAGTGTTTTTGAGATCTTGCCTATATTTTTTGAAAATTTCAGAATTTTTCCTCAAATATTTCACAAGTTATGGCCGATAAACCAGAAAAATGAGGCATTTAATCAACATTTTTGGCCTTAACTTCTGAAATTCTGATATAAAAATTCTGAGATTTTTAGAGAACGTAGAAGAACATATGAAGAGTGGTTTTGAAAAAGTTCAGATTTTATGAGCTCCCGCGCCTAACGACCGCTCTTACGGGCTAGTCCCCATTATAAATTCTTCCTCCTATACATAATAACCCGACAAACGGAAAAGCCTATAAAATTTGTTGTTTGTCTAGTCTGATTTTAGTTTTATGGGGACAAAATTTTAAATTTTTTATGGAGACAACTTGCCCCTATAATGTGTACTTTCCGTTCAAATTTATGACAGATCTTGTCTAAGGCCCATAAATAATTTTATGGATTCAGGATTATAAAAATAAAAAATTTTCTATGAGAAAAGTTGCCCTTTATAATGTAAAACATATTTTATTAAGCCAAGGAAGAACGCTTTAAAAGAATTTTTGAAAGCTAAGGAAAAAAATTTTTTAACAGAAAATTTTTGGCGCTGGTATAGTTTATGCGTTCAATAAACTTTTATGCGTCCAATCAAAAAATAATTGGATTTTTCTTGGTGTTGCTAAGTTGGGGTATGGTTCCAAATAATTTTTCATGTTCGGGACTTACGCCCACTGGGTCTGGGACCATTCCTTACCATATTCCTCGAAAGTTCTGAAAGTTACAAACGTTTTTCCGAAATTTTTAAAAATTGGCTATAACTTTCAGAAATTTCAAGGAATAGGGTAAGGAACGGGCCCAGACATAGTGGGCGTAAGTCCCGAACATGAGAAAATTTTTTTATCATTAAAAAATTTAGCAAAAAAATTTCTGAGGAGTTATTCTACTTTATTACTCTATTTTTACCCTTACTACAAATTTATTTACATATATTTTATTAAAAAATAGAGGAGAGAAAAGTATAAGAATAATGAAAGATTTAGGGATGGATAGATGAGAGTGACTCAAAAACTAGTAAATAATCCAATTTTGGCTTTTATGGATATTCTTTTTTTTATTGAAAAGATTTTTGTGTTTTCTTTTTCAACTATAAATTTTGTTGTCAGAGGAGCGAAGAAAATTTGATTTAACGCCAAGCGAAAGAAAAAAATTTTTAAAATAAAAAAAATTTTTTTTAACCGAAGAAAGGTTACGGGTTGAGGCGCAAGTACACATTATGCATCCTAATATAGAAAATCCTTTTTTGGATAGGATTTACAATGTTTAATGGCTACAAAGAATTTATTAATAATTAGAGAATAAATTTTGACTGGACACATAAAAATCCTTAGGGCCAAGGCTTGAGTTTCAAGTGCGAGACGAGATTTCAATGACATAAAATCATCAGATAACCTGAATTGATCCGAAGAACTTAAGAGAAAAATCCTCGGTTCTTTGATTGGTTTCGATTCCCGAGCCGACAACCAAATTATGACAAAAAAGGAAGATCGGAAAAATATAAAAAGACATGTGTCCTCACTAGATACTAGAGATCGAGCCGACCCGATTACCAATTCCAGAAATCGGGAATCTATGAACTATGTTCCCTGTTACAACACAAATTTTCTGGAAGTCAACAGCATGTCCAGAAAATAGGATAATTTAAATGTATTTTAAACTAAGACAGAATTTTCAAAGTTAAACACAGATTTTAAAAACTTTTAAAGAAAAAAGTAAAGAAAAAGTTTCTCGTTTTCCAACAAGAAAATCGTTAGAGCTTAAATAATTGGCCAAATTAAATTTTATTTAAAAAATAGGAAAAAATTAAGGAAAGTTGCGGGAGCTTTGCGCTTCTTTCCAAAATTATCTCTCAATAAAAAAAAATAAATCAGTCATGCGGACCATGGAATAAATTGAAGAAAAAAAATGTAAAATGGACTACTTAAAAGTTTTTTAAAATTTAATTTAGTGTAGTAATTGAAAGGATTTCCTGAAAAAAATTATTTTTGGAAAAATTTTTGTTAAGTTACCAATTTGGAAATATAAATTTAATGATGTAAAGCAGGAGATCTAGCTGTCACGAAACCCAAAATCGTAAATCTATTTTTCAAACCGACTAGATTACTGATGTAGTGCTCGGAATCTGCAAACTGATAAGAGACTTGATGAGAGAAAGAGAGAGATGAGATGCCAAAAGATGAAACCTCTTTCAGAAATTTTCTAAGGATGAGACGAAATCGGGAAGGATAATTCTCCGTTTTCATAGACTGTAAAGCTCTAATGCTATGTTCACAAAAAATTATCTAATGAAAAAACAAAGAGAAATCTCGGTTCTATGCCAAATTGAAGAAAGAATGATTAAAAAAATTTTAATAATAGATGAATATCTTGCATAATACATATGATAAACAAAAAGGATAAAAAAGAGAATAAAAGAAATAAAAATCTTCAAAAATAATTTTAAAAATAAATTTTTGGCCTTAATTGAAGTAAATTAAAAATTTTAGTAGTTTGCTCCCTATTTTTGGGGCCATTTAAAAATATTTTTATTATTGTTATGAATGAATTAAAAATAAATTTAGCAGAAAAGAGAGGAGAACGGGAACAATTTTCCCATGAGAATTTTGGCCGTATCTGAAAATAATGCTGCAATCATATTTTTTCCTTCATTTTTTCCTTTCCATATTTTTCCTTATTTTGTACAGAAAGGTCAGACTTTTTCACTCGTTCGCTTCCAATGAATTTCCCTGTGGCATGTTCAAGTGTAATTATAGAGAAAAGATTGAAAGCAAAAAATAAAAAAATATTACATTTTTGTGTTGTAAAACATGGACAGACAAAACACGGACGAACTCGGACAGACAGACAAAACACGGACGAACTCGGACAGACAGACAAAACACGGACGAACTCGGACAGACAGACAAAACAATGACGGACTCGGACATAAAACACGGACGGACAGTTTTGACAAAACACGGACGAACTCGGACAGACAGACAAAGCACGGACGAACTCGGAAAGACAGCAAAACACGGACGAACTCGGACTTACACAGTCAGACAAAACACGGACGAACTCAGACAGACAGACAACACGCACACACATCGGACAGAAAAAAAAGTAAATGCTCACAAAAATAAAAGGAAAATAATCCTATTGCGTTTATAGTCTTAAGGCAAAAATCAGAAATAGAGAGAAAATATAAGAAAATTAACCATTTTTAAAAATAAGGAGAAAAATTTGATTGCAGCATTATATTCAGATACGGCCAGAATTTTTATTCCAAATAAAGTAAAGAATAATTATTTTTGGTTCAAGTTATAAATAAAAGAATAAAAATTAAAAATATTCTGACAAGAATTAAGCAAAAATATTTTAAATGTTTTAATAATTTCAAATTAAGAACACTCGAATCACGCGATGCAAGGGACGGAAAAGCGAAGGTCTGGAATAAGAACGATCTAAGGTCAAACTTTACTGGATTTTCTACTCCATCCAACGCAGACTCCCAAGTCTTCCTTCAAAGGTTCGTAGATTTCTATATGTTAGCCCACTGGTTGAAGGAGGATATGCTTAAGTGATATCTCCATTTTAGTGTACGATTCTTTCTGAATTTCCCTTTTTTATTAAAAAAATTCAAAAATTAAAAAAAACAACCAATTATTATCAAATTATAAGTAAAATAAATTTTAAAGGTACTAACTATTCAAAAAAATTAATATTTATAATTGCCATAAAAATATTCTCAAAAAACCCCTAAAATGGCGTCAAGCTGTGTGCATATTTTCCCTAAAAATATTTATTCTTTAAAGCATTTCTTAAAAATTCTGCTTATATCAACGCAAAAATGCTTAAACATTTTGTATTTTATTTATTTTTGATAATTCTTCAAGCTGAAAAATCAGAAGAATTGAAATTGTTAAACAACAGAAGAAAATGTACAAATATGCGACCAGAAAAAATTGTTCAAATTTTAATGCAGAATTATAGCAGGTAATATTTAAGAAGAAAAATCAGAATTATTATAAAGAAATTATAAAAGAGGTTAAACAAAAATAAAAATCGGAATTTACAAATTGTAAAATAATAATTAAATCAGAATTATAATTTGTAAAAACAATAAAACAAAATTTACAATTTGTAAAACAATAAAAATCAGAATTATAATTAGTTCAGAACTGTAGAATATTAATAAAATAGAATGTACAAATTGTAAAACATAAGTAAATCAGAATTAGAAATTGTAAAAACAAAACAATAAATCAGAATTATAATTTGTAAAAAAGAAAATAACAATTACAATTTGTAAAAAGAAAAATCAGAATTACAATTTGTAAAATTTAAATAAAATCAGATTTACAAATTGTAAAATTTAAATAAAATCAGAATTACAATTTGTAAAATTAAAATTAAATCAGAATTACAAATTGTAAAATTAAAATTAAATCAGATTTACAAATTGTAAAATAATAAGTAAATCAGAATTACAAATTGTAAAATTAAAATTAAATCAGATTTACAAATTGTAAAATTTAAATAAAATCAGAATTACAATTTGTAAAATTAAAATTAAATCAGAATTACAAATTGTAAAATTAAAATTAAATCAGAATTACAAATTGTAAAATTAAATAAAATCAGAATTACAATTTGTAAAATTAAATTAAATCAGAATTACAATTTGTAAAATTAAAATTAAATCAGAATTACAATTTGTAAAATTAAAATTAAATCAGAATTACAATTTGTAAAATTAAAATTAAATCAGAATTACAATTTGTAAAATTAAAATTAAATCAGAATTACAATTTGTAAAATTAAAATTAAATCAGAATTACAATTTGTAAAATTAAAATTAAATCAGAATTACAATTTGTAAAATTAAAATTAAATCAGAATTACAATTTGTAAAATTAAAATTAAATCAGAATTACAATTTGTAAAATTAAAATTAAATCAGAATTACAATTTGTAAAATTAAAATTAAATCAGAATTACAAATTGTAAAATTAAAATTAAATCAGAATTACAAATTGTAAAATTAAATTAAATCAGAATTACAATTTGTAAAATTAAATTAAATCAGAATTACAATTTGTAAAATTAAAATTAAATCAGAATTACAATTTGTAAAATTAAAATTAAATCAGAATTACAATTTGTAAAATTAAAATTAAATCAGAATTACAATTTGTAAAATTAAAATTAAATCAGAATTACAAATTGTAAAATTAAATAAAATCAGAATTACAATTTGTAAAATTAAATTAAATCAGAATTACAATTTGTAAAATTAAAATTAAATCAGAATTACAATTTGTAAAATTAAAATTAAATCAGAATTACAATTTGTAAAATTAAAATTAAATCAGAATTACAATTTGTAAAATTAAAATTAAATCAGAATTACAATTTGTAAAATTAAAATTAAATCAGAATTACAATTTGTAAAATTAAAATTAAATCAGAATTACAATTTGTAAAATTAAAATTAAATCAGAATTACAATTTGTAAAATTAAAATTAAATCAGAATTACAATTTGTAAAATTAAAATTAAATCAGATTTACAAATTGTAAAATAATAAGTAAATCAGAATTACAATTTGTAAGATAATAAAATCAGAATCTCTATTAATGTGCTTATTTGGTTGATTAAAAATTAAAATTACAGATTGAATTTTAAATAATAGAATCCAGAATCAGAAAACTAAAACACAAAACCAAAATTATAATTAAAAATAAAATAAAAAAACAGAAATAAAAATAAGAATAAATTTTCAGAAGCGTAGCTCCAGCTAACCCTGTTGCTGTTCAAGTCGAAGCAACTATACAGGATATTAATGAACTCTCAGTTTTGAGCAACTTTGGTCTACTTAATTAATTTATAAATTATTTTTTAATTAATTTATAAATTATTTTTTAATTAATTTTTTAGTCTCTGCTGACCTCTGGTTCAGTGCTCTTTGGAATGATCCTCGCTTAAAATTCTCTCATTTAGACCCTTGCCGAAAAAACCTTTCATTTGACGAAACTTTTGAAAAGCATCTCTGGTCACCCAATGTTTGTTTGGTTAATACAAAATCATCAAGAGTTCATGCTTCACCTAAACCCAACGTTTTGCTTATGCTTCTTGCCAACGGGACTGTCTGGCTTAATTATAGGGTTAAATATTTTTATAAAAATTCTGATCAGAATTTAAATACTAAAATTAAAATTCTGATTTTTCAAAATTCTGATTCTGCTTATTTTTAGTTTCGATTTTACAGGTTCTGATTTTTCTGATTTTTTTAGAATTCTGATTTTTCTGATTTTTTCAGAATTCTGAATTTTCTGATTTTTTCAGAATTCTGATTTTTCTGATTTTTTTCAGAATTCCGAATTTTCTGATTTTTTCAAAATTCTTATCTTTCTTTCATTTTTTTCTGATTTATTCTGATTTTGTTATTTTACAATTCTACTTTAAGGTCCAAGTTGAAGCCCCCTGTGAATTTCAAATTTCTGATTTTCCTATGGATTCTGCCCGATGCCAGTTAGTTTTCGAGTCCTATTCTTACAACACCGCTACCGTTACTATTGATTGGATGCCTTCAGCCTTAACTTTACAATTCGAAGAAATAAGTGCTTCTGACCACCAATTAGTACATACAAAATTGTTTAAGCACACAGAAGTAGTTTTGACTGTTTAAAATTTATTTTGGATTTTTTTACAGTATTACAAAGCTGGAGAATGGTATAGGTTAACTCTTGAAATGGGATTTAAACGTCGTTATGGTTATTATATCCTACAGGTATGAATTCATATAGTAGTCGGACCTAGTTATTAGATACCCTTAGCTACCTACAAGATAGTATCTTATAATGGGGTGTAACTGAAATAGAGGGTATTGAAGAATTTTATCTTATAATGCGGTGTTACTATAATGACGGGTATCACTTTGGAGCTCCCCATCTAATGGCCAATTTATAACTCTTCTTAGGAGGTAACCAATGCTAAGAGTATCATACATATAATGTGGTTCGACTCGAAGTTAAATAATCAGCCAAAAATACCCTCAAGGTCTATGCCAATACCTACATTAATGTTTTCCTGTCTTGGATCGCTTTCTGTATTTCTTTGAAAGCTTTATCTGCACGAGTTATTTTATCTGTTAACACGTTGATTTCTCTATGTGTTCAGGTAAATAATTAAATTTTTAAATTAATAATTTTAATTAATCCAACAACTAGTTTGGCAATATAATCAGCTCGTTACCTCCAGTTTCCTATGTTAAGGTAGGTAGGTTAAATGAGGAAGCACTTCACACTGACCATTTTTAAATTTTCTCCATTAAGCCAATAGACGTCTTTATGTTTGTTTGTATTGCATTCATATTTGCCTCATTATTGGAAATGGCTTTTATCTCCTACAAGTTTTGCATTCCATCTTGTATTCCATCCTATGATCTTTTAAAAATTTTAGGATAAAAAAATGCTTCGACGCTCAATCAGATTTAGTGTGGGTGTCGGATCTCTCTTTGATTTGGCCTGCTTAAACAAAGCTTTGGCTGAAACAGCTGCTGATTTTGGGGGTAATGTTGGGGCTATAACTGGGGTACGTCGTAAGCCTTCTCATCAAGTTGATGCTGGGGATGAGTATGGTGAAAATGAGAGTTTTGGTTCTAGTGGGAAACAGGTGTAGTTGGAATTGATGTTTTGAAAGATTTCTGGCATGTTGACATTTCAAAATTTTTTCGGTTGTTGACATTTTAAAATTTTATTGGGGTTGGACATTTTGAAATATTCTTTGCAAGTTACCATTTTGACATTTGACATTTTGAAATATTTTTTGCAAGTTACCATTTTGACATTTGACATTTTGAAATATTTTTTGCAAGTTACCATTTTGACATTTGACATTTTGAAATATTTTTTGCAAGTTACCATTTTGACATTTGACATTTTGAAATATTCTTTGCAAGTTACCATTTTGACATTTTGACCTTTTGAAATATTTTTTATAGTGACCATTTTGAAATTTGACATTTTGAACTATTTCATGTTCTAAAATTTAAATTCAAATTACAGAGTGAATCCCTCTTCGATGAGATTGTCAGACGTGATTCTCTCCCAAACATGCCGAAAAAAATGGCCAAAAAAATCTTACGAAAACAACAAAACAAATACTTGTCTAGAGGACATCGAATTGATCAATGGTCATTTTTCCTCTTCCCATTAGCCTTCTCCTTTTTTAATGTATTATATTGGGCTTATTATTTGGGCAGACGAAGGCATGAATAAATTTATTGATTAAAAAATTTTTTTTTAAATTTTTTTTCTATTGTCTGTTTAAATTTTATAGACAATAAAGAGAATTTACTTCCTTCACTTCCCTATTCCTTTAAATTTAAATTAAATTTTAATAAAGGAAGAATTTTTTAGAATGTCTTTTTAAATTTTTTTATTATCTCTTCCGGCAGTTTATAGAATAAAAAAAAATTTTTTCAATGTCTTCTGTCCTGTCTTCCTCAAATGAATTCCTTCAGAATAACCCCTCGTATTATTCACAGTAAATAGTCGCGGTAAAGTTGAGAGAGACCGGAGAGGGAGAAACATTGAGAGAGAGAGAGATTTAAAATTGGGAGAGACTAGAGACTGGACCGAGACGAGATCAACGAGATCCCGATCGAGACGAGATCCCGATCGAGATTCCGATCGAGACGAGATCCCCATCGAGACGAGATCCCGATCGAGATTCCGATCGAGACGAGATCCCGATCGAGATTCCGATCGAGACGAGATCCCCATCGAGACGAGATCCCGATCGAGATTCCGATCGAGACGAGATCCCGATCGAGATTCCGATCGAGACGAGATCCCCATCGAGACGAGATCCCGATCGAGATTCCGATCGAGACGAGATCCCCATCGAGACGAGATCCCGATCGAGATTCTCGTACGAGCTCCCAGTCAACTCTCTACTATTTATTTTCCATCAATCAACACATATTTCTGGTAAACAGAGTTTCAGAGGTCTTACCCAAGACATCAAGTGTTCCCTTCCAACATAGTAAGATCCATCTACTTTTCACTTTAAAATGAGAGTTTAATGTTCCCGAAAAGAGAGTCAAATCAACACACAAATCAACACACTAGCAAATACTATAAACAACTTTTACAAGATTAAAGCCACCGACTTTTTAAAAAAAGTTAAGCGCGTAAATGTAGTATGTATTTTAATTGAATTTGCACTATTGATTTTAAAAAAAAAATTTTTTTTTAAATAATTTTTTATTGCCTCTCTATCCTCCTCCCTTATTTGCCTCTTTAAAAATTTCCCTCCCCCTCCCCTCCTTTAATTTCCCTCCCCTCTCCCCTCCTTTAATTGCCCTCCCCTCCCCTCTCCTTTATTTGCCTTGCCTCTTTAAAAGTCCCCCCTCCCCTCCTTTATTGCCCTCCCCCCTCCCCTCCTTTATTTGCCTTGCCTCTTTAAAAATCCCCCACCCTCCCTCTCAGCCCTCTTGTCAATTTTGTCAATAAAAAATTTTTTCTTGCCCTTTTATTAGACATATGATTTTCTCCTTCCCTCTCACTCTGACTTTTTAAATTTTTTATTTATTTAATGCCTTAAAAATTTTTTTTTATTTTTAATTACCCCCTTTGTTTAACGCTAATTATTCAACAACTTATATTCAAAAAAAGTAAACATGAGAGTTTTTATTTTAATTTTTTTGTTCATATCATACTGTAAATCGGCCCTCAAAGTGTCACCAGAATTCGACAATGTCGAGTTTGAAACAGCTTCACAGCAAGAAGAAAACATCCCTCCGAGGAAAAATGAATCAACTTCTACTACGATCAGTAACAAAAGCTATACGAAGCCAACAGAACCGTGGATTGGTGAGTTTGACATTTTGAAATAATTAGGAGATATTGGGCATTTTGTAACATTTTGGGGGCATTTACATTTTGAAACATTTTCAGGGATTCTGACATTTTGAAATATTTTTGTGGTTTTTACATTTTTAAACATTTTCCGCTTAGTTGACATTTTGAAACATTTTCGCGTTAATTGACATTTTTAAATAATTTGGGGATTTGGGCATTTTGAAACATTTTCGGAGTATTTGAATTTTAATTTTTAGCGGAAAAAGCATACAGTATCAACGATTTGATAGTCGAATTCGAGGTTCACGTTGGTGTTCAACAAGCCTGTTTGGAAAGCACAAAATTCATGTTAGATTTATTCGGAAATCAACAAAACAAAGGCAAAGAAAACGGCAACAAAGAAAATAAATCAAAGTTAAAAAATGAAACAATATTAAAATTATTTAAAGCTTCAGAAGCAATAGTAGGGGAAGTAAAGAAGTTGATAGGTGAATTTGAAGAAGTATTAGATAATGGATTAAAAGAAGAATTGGATGAACAAGAAAGCTACAAGAGAGGATTTTATAGAAATCAAGGAAGAAGATTGAAGGATTTGGACCTTTATTACTACATTCCTGAAGGATTATTTCTTGATTCCTTGCCAGATTATATTATGGGTGGATTAAAAGATTATGATACTGACAATGAATTTAAGACAAATAGGGCAAGATTGTTTAGCAAATTTTTGAGTAATAAGGAAGATGTGTGTGTTGAAAATGAAGAAGATAACGAAGAGGAGGGAGAAGTTGTGATTGTTGAAGAAGATGTCAAAACTAATCTTTGGCAAAAAGCATACAATGCATTTAAGAGACAATTGTCTCGGAAGAAGAAACAAGAGTCCTTGAAGACACAAGGGTCTTTAAAGAAACAAGGATCCTTGAAGAAAGAAGAGCCTTTGACGAGATATGAGTCATTGAAGAAACTAGGGTCTTTGAAGAAACAGAATTCTTTAAAGACACAAGGATCCTTCATTGAGTCCTTGAAGAAACAAAATTCTTTCTCCATTGGAAATTGCAAACCGAACTTGAGAGATGTTGTAGAATATACGATTAAATTAAATGATATTTGTCAGGTTTTCAAAAAGAAGGATGTTGATACTCTTTTACTTACAAAAAAGGACAAATTTTATTTTAACATCGAGCATAGAAAAAATTTACGCAAATTAAATAGGTAATTTTTTGATAAGTTTTTAATGTTGGATTCTCACATTGAGAACATGGCAAGGCAGGGAAAAAACAAATATTGGCTCTTGCAAAGATTATGCGTCCAATCGGATAACATACAGAACATGTCTATTAACGTAGATTGGACGCATACAGTCTATTGAACGCATAAAAATTTCTTTGGACGCAAAGGTGCGATTAGACGCTATCTGGACAGGTGCCAAAGCTGACCGAGGATCAAAAAATTTTTTCTGGAGGGTTAAAAAATAAAAAAAGCGTTATAAAATATTTATTTTTAATAATTTACTAAATTTAAACAGATTGGTTGATCTTCGAGAAAAAATCAAAAAAGAGGCAGATATTCAAATACCAATTATCCACATAGGCAAAACAACTAGACAACAACATACAATTCATTCTTATGACTTGATGTATAAAGAAAAAGCAATAAAAAACTATGAAAATTATTTAAAAACAGTAGATAATACAAAAATTGAGGGATTGAAAAAAATAAAAATTTTATTAGAAAAATTATTTATTAAATCCAATGAAATTAAACAAATATTTGAAGTTGGGAAGAAATTATGTAATTGTGAAAATGTCGAACAAGTGGATGAATTAATGAATGAGGTGAATTTTGTCGGTTCCTGAAAATTTTTTTAATATCGAGTTAGGTGCCGGAATTATAACCCTATATATTATGTCCTATGGTCCGGTCGTCATACACTAGAAGGTGTGTATTCACTAGAAGGTGTGTATCTAAATTTTCAGAAAATTTGAAAAACGACATTTGATACCCGTGTTTTAGGATTGGTTTTTATTAGAGTGTAACATAAATAATTAGCCCCTCCCCTTGTGGTAAAGGATTAAATAATTAAAATTCAACTAAATGTTTTCAGACTTCGAATAATATTTTTCTATGATCCTAAAAGAGTTGCCTATTTTCTGGCAAAAAATCAGAATCCTAGGATTAAGTTGGCAGTAGTTAGAGGTGAAATACTTGTATTTTTAAAACAAGGACTTCGAATATTGGAATTATGAACAGTGAGATATGAATTTTCAAACTTCATTGTTTGAGGGGGGGGGTGCTAATTATTTATGTTACACCCTAATACATAATAAAATCCTCCAATATAGTAGAATAGTAAAGCAGCCGGGCTATAGCTATTTCTCTCCTTTAGCTAGTGCAAAAGGTTAATCGGCGGCTGGGAGCGAACCAGCATCTTTAGTAGACCGGACTGATGTGTTAGCCATTACACCAACCCGCCTACTGCACAGCCTTAGGAAATTAATAGCTACATGCTTTACAGAATATACATAATGAATATACACATTTTTAGATATCTATAATAAACAACAAGAATTATGAACATGCTAGGAACAATTTAAAACTAGCCAAATCATCACTCGCATTTTTAGAATTTATTAATCAACACAAACTTGGAATAGATAAGATAAAACAGATAACACCTCCAAAAAAGGAAATGGAAAATGTTCAAATTTTTTATATGAGTTTAAATTTACAAAATCGAAACGTTGTTTTAAATAAACCAAACGTTATGTTAGCTAAATTAAATGTTAAATTACTAAAAGATTTACTAAAAGAAGGAAAATTTAATTTAGATTTTTTGATTGAAACTTTCAATGATTTATACGGGGAAAACGAGGAGGTTGCCCAAAAGTTATATGAATTTATGGAAGATTGGGAGCTTATTAGTTTTGATGAACAAATTAAAGAGATTAAGAAGATAAAGAGTGAGTATGAAGTAGAACGGAATAAGAGGGAAGAGGGGGAAGAGAATGAAGATGAGGAAAGCAGGGAAGAAGAGAAAGTGAAGGGCGAGACGGATGAAGAAGACAAAGAGAAGGAAGAAAAGAAGGAAGAAGAGAAGGAAGAAAAGAAGGAAGAGAACAAAGAAGCTAATCATCCATCATATCCCTATACCATCCAAGAACTTGAACTAAAAAATGACTGTGTAACAATGCTCTTTAAAGAAAAATATATAATTAAAAAATTAATTGTTGAAGAGTATATGCAAAAAGGAACTGTGGATTTTACAAATATGTTTGAGGAAAAGAAGACTCATGTAGAGAAAATGGAAGAGGATAATGGGAAGAAGCTTAATCGCGTCAAATCGGCTGAACATATAACTAAGAAGAATGAACCAGAAAATAATAGGAAAAATAGTGTGTTTTCTGTGTTTACTAAACATGCATATTCGCTTGTTCCAGATGTAAAATCACGCTTATCTAGCGTTTTGCCTTTCCATTAAATTTCAGTTTTGTTTTTCTCGTAAAGTTCGTTTCAAAGTTATAAGACCATCCATTTTTTTTGTTCTCTATTAACAACTTATAGCTATTTAAATCCTAAAGATGTGCAGATGGCGGGCGGCGTGCTAGAGTTGGAACTTTCCAAGTTGCCGGCACAATGTAGTTTTTTTCAGAATGACAGGGCAGGGCTTTTACTCGTTAAATCCTGAAAACCTGGATTTTGTCAAAATATCTAGTTCTACTACTACCTTGCCCGGTAAACCCAGTTTTTGCCCAGGTTTGAACTCTAGAAATAGCTATAGCCAAATCATTTTACTATAAGAATAGTAAAGCACCCCTTTTTATCATCCATTCTTTACGATTTTAGCTACCGCAAATGAAAACAACCACCAGGGGCTTTATTTCAACTAAATTTTAGCATTATTTGACACTCGATGTCATGTCTTTTCCATTAAAATGCCAGTCCATTCCAATACCGATTACCTCTCGATAGAGATTTTCCATTACCCAAAATTGAACCGAAAATTGTCAATTCATTATTTATTTTTTATTATTAACATTATTTATATTTTTATCATTCATTATTATCCATTATTTTATCTGAAATTTTGCTACCTTACTGTGTAAATTTAAATTTTAATCTACAACACATTATATATTATTTTAAAAATTGTAAATTTTCAACCATTTGTATAAATTTAAGGGAAGTAAAGTTTATAAAATTTTGTAAAATTCAAAACTATAATTGAAAATAATAATTACTTAATCACAAAATCACAGCAGACTAGCAAGGGAAATAGTTAACAATTTAATTAAAACAAATGAAATAAAACTAAAGCCAATTATGTCGAAGCAAAGAAGTTGGAATCAGTTTTCTGTGTTTTGTAAAATAATTTTTAGGTTCTTTACCTAACAGCCCTTCGTCCATCTACTCCCGAACCAAGAACTATCGAAGTAGCATCACAGACAGACAACATTATTTAGCTTATTCTTAATTAATGATGTTAACATGCGATATTAAGTTCATTTGGTCTTTTATGGAGCATCAAGGATCAGCTGTCCGATATCTTGTTCGATATTTGAATCATCCAAAACTGAATTATGCGAAAAGATGAAACCGAAAAGAACTTTGGATGGAATCTATCAAACGCAAAATCATTCACGCGTAAACACTTTTACCAAATGACCATCAGACTCGAACGCAAGGGTGGTTGAATTCTTGATTTAAAATAATTTTTTACTTAAAATAAATATTTGAAGTTATTTTAATAATTTTAAAATCAATAAGTTGTTATTTTTATATCATAAAATTGTTTCATTAAAAACATCATTTTTAAACCGTAGGGAACGAACCCGTGACCCAATTTCAGGCCGACTTTTTAGTCAGCGCTCTTACCCGCCTAACCAGTTTCAATCCATCTATTTTCCCTGCTTGTTTGCTTTGCATAATGGAAGCAAAAAATGATTTTACTTAACATTAGTAGAATATATGTAGCTGTGAACTGGATCTGTATTATTAGAAAGGTAATTTCCATCAAAATTTAAATTAGGTATTTAATCAACTCTGTTTGACCGATCTATAGAATTGTAACTCACTTTCGTTTTAGTTGTTTCACCACAACTTCTCAAGATCAAAGCCGGCAGTATTTTACAAAAAGTTGAAGCGCGTATATGTATTTATGTAGTCTGTATTTTAATTTAATTTTTACTCATTAATTTTTGTTTTCTTAAAATTTTTTTTCTTGCCCTTTATCCTCCTCATTTATTTGCCTTTTTAAAAATCTCCCCTCTCCCCTCCTGCCAATTTTGTCAATAAAAATTTTTCCCTTTTCTTGCCCTTTTATTAGACATATGATTTTCTCCTCCCCTCTCAACATCGACTTTTTAAATTTTTTATTTATTTAATGCCTTAAAATAATTTCTTTTACTAATTGCCTCTCCTTTTAACGTTAATTAGTCAACAACTTATTCAAACTAAATTGAATATGAAAGTTTTTATTTTAATTTTTTTGTTTGTCTCAACCGTTAAATCGGCCTACAAGGCTTCTTCATATAGCAAAGAATTTGTCCTGTCTAGTCCCAAAATCGCTCCCTTGAAGGAAGCCAACATCCCTCCAACTAAGGCATTGGCTGGTCCTAGTTCCGAAAGTTCTTCGAAACAAAATCGACCGCCGATTGGTAATTTTGACATTTTTAAATGTTTTCAGGGTTTTTAAAATTTTGAAACATTATGGGTTAATGGATATTTTGAGATATTTTCTGGGTAATAGATAGGTATTTTGAAATATTTTGGAGTATTATTCATGTTGACATTTTTCGGTTATTTGACATTTTTAAATTTTCAGCGGAAAAAGAATACAGTATTAACGATTTGATAGTCGAATTCGATGCTCACATCGATGTTCAGCAAGCTTGTATGGAAAGTACAAAGTCATTGCTAGATTTATTCGGAAATCAACAAAGCGAATTCCAAACCAAAGAAAATAAATTGCAGTTAAAAAATAAAGTGTTATTAAAATTGTTTGAAGCTTCAGAAGCAGGAGTGGAAGAATTAAAAGAATTAATTACTAGATTTGAGGAGGAATTATACAAAAAGGGATTATTTAAAAAATTAGAGGACGAGTTGGAATACAAGAAAGAATATTACAAAAATAGAGGGAAAAAATTGAGGGAGGCTGACTTTTTTAATTATTTACCCGAACTGCTTTTCCTTGATTCCCTTCCAGGGTTGTTAAGGATTGATTTAATGGATGAAGATTGGATTCAAAGAAGGGCCAGACTTTTTAAAAATTTTTTGAAGACTAAAAGGAATGAAGCAGAAGAGGAGAATGAGAAAGAGAAGCAAGCAGAAGACTTGAATCATCCAAAAACCGGAAGCAAGTGGAAGAAAGCTGTGACTTTTGCTTTAAATAATAAAGCATCCCCTAAAAATTATTTGAGAAACGTTATAAATAGTCTGATTAAATTAAGAGATGTTTGTATTATTTTTAATGAGAAAGATGTTGATAATCTTTTAATGATAAAAAAGGATTTATTTTATTATAATATTGAACAGAGAAAGAATCTTCGGAAGTTAAACAGGTGTTTATATTTATTGCAAATTTTAATTTGGACATTTTGAGTTTGAATATTAATTAACAGAAATAATGCAATCGAAATGTTTATCTTAATTTATTAGGTTTTACTAAAGCTCGACGGCTTTGACAATCGATAACACGATTGTATATTAAAGAGAGGGGGTACTCCGGATCCCAACGTATAATCCAGGAGTTTTTCCTGTTGATTTATTTATTAGATAAATCTAATAAAAAAAATTTATTTAAAATAAATAAAAGAATAAAATTAATTGAAATTGAAGATGACATAAAATCGGTTAAACAATATTAAATGTATATTGAATGACCGCCTGTGTGTTGGGCACTCATATTCTTTCTTCCATCTAATAGTCTGGGAAAGGTAGCTTGGCTTTGTTGGCGATCGATATCTTCCTAGCCTGCAAAAGAAATAAGACTAAAATTAGTTAGAACATATATTAATTATTGTATGTAAAGGAATCGCGCGACGGCCAAAGGCGTAGTAGAGAGGGTGAAGTAAATTGTTTTTTCCCTAGATTTGTTGATCTCCGCGAAAAAATCAAAAAGGAGGAAGATATTCAAATAACAAATATTCAACTAGACAGAATAAATAAATCAGGAATAATTCAACGTATTAATTTGAAATTAAAAGGTGAATTGAAAGAACAAATAGAAAACTATGAAAATTATTTAAAAACAGTGGATAATACAAAAATTGAGGGATTGAAAAAAATAAAAATTTTACTAGAGAAATTATTTATTAAATCCAATGAAATTAAACAAATATTTGAAGTTGGGAAGAAATTATGCAATTTTGAAAATAATGAACAAGTGGATGAATTAATTAAAGAGGTGAATTTGTTATTGAAGCAGTCTATTTATACGTAGGGTAGTCGGTCGTTGAAGAATTTTCAGATATCATGTTTTAAGCACACGACATTTGAGGATTATATTTAAGACACGACATTTAGAAATAACTAAACGAACCATCATGGATTAACTGACATTTTAAGACACGACATTTAGAAATAACGACATTTTGCACGCAAACATTTGAGTCACGGCCTTTAAGTACTCGATGTTTTAAGCACACGACATTTGAGGATTATTTTCATACTGATAAATATAACACATTCCTAGGTAAAGACAATTCACCAAAAGAATCACAAACATGCCAGCAACAATTTAAAACTAGCCAAATCATCACTTGCATTTTTAACTTTTGTTAATCAGCACAAACTTGGAATGGATAAATTAAAAAAGATAACACCTCCAAAAAAGGAAATGAAAAATATTCAAAATTTTTATTCAAATTTGGCAAACCGAAAAAATGATGGGAAAATACTCTATTTTTTAAAAGGACAAACGTTTAATTTAGATTATTTAATTAAATTATCTTCTTATGGTGGAAAACCCGAAGAGAGTTTAGCTGAGAAATTCTATAAATTTATGAAGAAACGGGAGCTTAGTTTTGATGAACAAATTGAAAAGTTCATTGATAAGGTAAAGAGGGAAGATGAGGAGGATGAAGGGGAGGAGGAGAATGAAGGGAAGAAGGAGAAAAAGAAGGAGAAGGAGGAAGAGAATGAAGGGAAGAATGAAGTGAGGGAAGTGGAAGAAGTGCAGGAGGAAGAGGATGAAGAGAGGAAGAAGAAGGTAGAAAATGAAGGGAAGAAGACAGGAAAGAATGAAGTGAAAGTTGTGGAAGAAGAAGAAGAGCAGGAGGAAGAGATAAAGGAAGAGGATCAAGAGGACGATGAAGAGGATGAAGAAATCGAGGATCAAGGGGAAGAGAATGACAAGAATGAAGATGAGGATGATGATGAGGAGGAAGAGGATGACGTAAAGGAAGAGAGTGAAGAAGAACAACAAGAGGAGGATTTATCATATCCCTATACAATCCAAGAACTTGAACTAAAAAATGACTGTTTAATAATGCTCTATAAAGAAAAATATATAATCAAAAAATTAATTTTTGAAGAGTTTATAAAGAAAGGAACTGTGGATTTTACTAAAATGTTTGGGAAAAAGAAGACTGGTGGCAGGCCTAAGCTTATTCGTGCTAAATCGGTTGAAATTCCAATGAAGAAAAATGAACCAGAAAATGAACGACAGAATAGTGTGTCTTATGTAATTTTTAAATCTGCTGCAACTCTCAAATCACGCTTTTCTAGCTTTCTTCCTTTCAACTAAATTTTGGATTTGTTTTTACTCATATATCTATCCTCCACTAACACCTCTATAAATTATGTAAAATATACCTTATTTCCTCTAAAATAGCCTCACCCTCCAAAATAACTCCTACCTCTAAAATAGCTAAGGTGAATATTGGGATTTAGAGACATTTTGTGGATTTGGGGTTTCGAGGGATTTTTGGAATTAAAATGGATATATGGGGCATTTGAGAGGATTAATAAATATATTACCTAATATCGAAAATCTCTTTATACCTCTCAAATCTCTTTATTCTTCCTTTAACCCAGAGAAGAAGTAGCTAAGTCCAGTCCATTTTTACTAAATTAGCGCCTAATTTTTCAAATAATTTTTCTCGATTAATTCTTTCGAAAATTCCCAATCTAGGGATAGGATGAAATAGCAATTCCCCACCACCATACCCTCTGTGCGTAAAAATTTCATACCTTAAATAATTCCCCATCCTAAGGATGGATTGAAAAACTTCCCTCTTCTAACTCATCAGGAATTACCGTAAATCTGCTAATAGAAGCTAAGTCTCTAATTGAAGCACACCCTACGAGAGGATCGGAAAGTAGCAGCACACGTGCTTCAATTAGAAGATTTACGGTAATTCAGTGTTTTCTTTTGATGTTAAAAAATTTTTTCTTCATTTTCCATTCATTTGTATAAATTGTAAGGTAATTAAAATTTATTTGAAATTTGGTAAAATTCAAAAATTATCGAAATAATATATTTATTATTTAATCACATAATGGAATGCAAAAAATGATGATTTCAATTAACATAAATATACTAAAGCTAGGAACGGGATCTGGGTTCTTAAGCTGGTTCCGCTTTACCATATTCAATTCACTACCTTCCTTTCTGTCCCTTTCTTAGTTCGCGGCTTTATAGAGATATTTCTAGAAGCCTTGGCCCTTTTCCTTGTCCCTCTTCCCTCTCTTCCTGTCACCGCTCTCCCTTTTCCCTGTCCTTTTATCCTAGGATTTATCAAGGTTTCAGGATGGAAGCGGACTTGCTCATAAAGCGGGCTTGCTTTTTCCGTCTTTGAGTCCCCCATTTCTTATTTTCTATTATTTCCAAATTCCTAGCTCTAATTAATTTCCTAATCAGTCATAATTAATACACAAATAAAGTATTTATGGAGGTAAAAATAATCACAAATATTGGGAGACTTTTAATACTTAAATAGGCATTATTCCCATTAATGCATCCAAAACTAGCCAAAAATTGTTTGATGAAGCTGTATTATTTTCATCTTCTTCTGTTTTGGTCTCTCCCTTCTCTTCAACTCCATTCTCTTCAATTTCTTCTCTTCCTTCATTATTTGTAGTTTCGTTCGTCTTCGATCCAGAGGCGCTTATTGAATGTACCAACCTTTCTATCTGTATTGTTGCTTCTCCACTTACTTCATCATCCTTCTTTTTCTCTTCCTCCCCGGGTTTTCTGTCCGTCTCTTCATTTGGCTCCTTTCCCTTTCCTTCTTCCTCTTCTTCACTAACCCCCTTTTCTTTCTCCTCTAACTCTTTCTCTTCCTTATTGGCAGTCGAGACTTTTTCAATCTTCTCTTCATTTGTCTCCTTCAAAGTATCATCAGTTATTTCCTCATTTTTCTCTTGAACTCCTTCCTTTTCCTCTTCTCTTTTATCATCAACGCCTTCATTCTTCTCTTCCACTTCTTTCTTCTCTTCTACAACTTGTTCTTTCTTCTCTTCTTTGTCATTTTCCTTCTTCACTTCTACTTTTTCCGTATTCTCTTCAATTACTCCTTTCTTTTCTCCTTCAATTTCTTCCTTCGTTTCTTCTACTCCTTCTTTCCCCTTTTTTCCATTTTTTTCCTTCTCATCTTCTACTCCTTCCTTTTTCTCCTCAACGACTTTCTTCTTATCTTCTTCTTTTTTCTCTTCAACGCCTTCATTCTTTTCTTTTTTATTTTCTTCAACGACTTCCTGCTTCTCTTCCACTCCTTTTTTCTCTTCTGCACTATCATCCTTTTTCGCCTCTTCAGTCTCTTTTGTTTTTTCTTTAGCTTCTTCCTTCTTTTCTTCTACTCGTTTCGATTCCTCGTTCTCTTTATCTGCTTCTGCTTCCTTGATCTCATCTTTATCCGCCTTAACATTAGTTTCATTCTTCAATATAGCCTTGTCCTCTATTTCTTTCCCTTTTTCGTTATCAATAACCTCGTCTATTTCTTCCTTCATAGCTTCACTGGCTTCATTATCATCCTCTTTATCCTCTTCCTTCTTGGCTTCTTTTACTTCATCTTCTTTCTCCTTTTCTTTTAATACATCTTCTCCTTTCTTCTCTTCCTTTACTTCATCTTCTTGTTCCTCTTTCTTTACCTCATCTTCATTCTTCTCCTCTTTTACATCCTCTTCCTCCTTTCCTTCTTTTACTTTTTCTTCCTTCTTCTCCTCTTTTACTTCCTCTTCCTCCTTTCTTTCTTTTACTTTTTCTTCCTTCTTCTCTTCACCATCCGCTTCAACTTTAACCCTTTCTTCATTATTATCTCTTAAACTTTCTTCTTTCTCATCCTCCTTTTTCTCATCATCGCCCACCTCTTTTTTCTCTTCATTTCCTTCATCTTTCTTCTTCTCCTCTTTATTCTCAGCCATCTTTTCCACGTCCTTCTCCTTCAATTCCCCGATAACCCCATCCTTCTCTCCGCTTGCTTCATCATTCTTCTCTTCCTTATCTTCAATTCTATTCCTCTCTTCCTCGGTTTCTTCCACGGCATTTTTAGATGTACTATTTTCCACTTCTTCGTCAAGATTTTCAATTTGCCCTCCAGCCACTATTTTATTTTCCGGGGTTGTCTGAACTTCAAGAATTATTTCTTTTGTGCTCCTTTCCTCCTTCTTTTCTTCCTTAATTTCTTCTAGGGGTTCTTCAGTTGAATGAACTTCTTCAATAACCCATCCTTGTGGCTGTTCACCTCCAATGATATACACTTTTGCTGGACCCGCATGTAAAGCCTGATATAAATTTTTTTTAGTTCAATAATTCCCTCTCCTACCTGCTTATCTGCCCTTTTCGGATACATTGCCCAACACACATAGCCATGCCGTACATGTTCTGCTCTAACATGTTCTATTCTTAAAAGGCCTCTTCCATCATCCCTAACACCTGTTAGCTCCTCCGCTTCAACTCCATTTTCTAAACGCCAGCTAAGTTTGGCATCTGTTCGACCTGGGACAGTGCATTGAATTAGGGCTGTTGTGTTGCCGGGGACTGTTTGGTTCATTGGAATTATGACAGGTGTTCTGGCTGAAATATTGGCTTTTGGAATCTCTTAGCCTTGTTAGAGTTATTAACTCTAAAACTCACGTGGCTCCACTTGAAGGTGAACTTGGGAGGAGGTAGCCCCTGTTCCTTGGTCCAGACACTCATAAATGCCAGCATCAGTTTGCCTCACCTCTTGGAAGATCATGAATACTGACTGAACATCACGCTCAATTGCTAGAGGTCCATTAGTGCTTAATACTTGAAAAAGGTTATTTAGGGAGTAAATGAATAATAGGTCATTTGGATGTTCTCTTCATCATGGTTTGAATGTTCCCTTCACACGAATTATGGATGTTCTCTTCACCCTACCTTTCAATATTCCCTTCACCCTACTTTTGATTGTTTCCTTCACACTACTCTAATGTTCCCTTCACATCCTTCATACCCCCACCCTTATAATACACGTCAAAATCCCTTACTTTCATTTTCTCCATTTTTGCTGCCATTAACTTTTTGCCAAACAAGTCGATGACTTGTCCTACACTCAGCAAATTGGCAATTCCAACATCTAAAGTGAACTGGTTCACCAGCAGAAGCAATCATTAGGTACGAGTCTACACGAGGCTTTAAGGCTAGTGGAGGTAATTCTTCTCGTCCATTTCGACTAGTTATAGCTGGCTTCTGAATGAATGATTTTTTAGGCTTATCTAAGATCTAAAAATCCACCTCTCCCTCATTCTCTTTTATTGCCGAATTCAACACATAAAGTCGAACAACTTGAGGGGTGTTCATATTTTTGGTATTGCTTTCATCCATTACTTGACAAGCAAATTCTCCTTGATGATTGGTATCCGCTACAGGTATTTTTAGTTGTCCATTTTCTGTTTTTTCAACTCCCGAAGGAAACTCGGCAAAGAGACCGTGAGGATCCAGCCGCCTCCATTCAACCTGTCCTGTGGGGAATTCACAATGGAAAATGGCTTCTTGGCCAGTGAGAACTGTCAATTGGCGTGGATAGACTTTTGGGATTTGCTCCTCTAAAAAGTTACCATTTCGAAATATTTTAGAATTAAGTTCAGACCTTTAGGCATAACTAGCCCCACCCCATTAGGCAATTCTTCACATTTTGAACTCATCATTACAATTAAAACTGCTACTGTAATTAGTGCAGCGAAAATGACTGCAACACCTCCAAAAAGTATAAATCTGAAAATAGATTTGAGAATATTTTTAAATGAATGTTCCTTGCATTCTACTTTAAAATGTCCACTTCACTCTATCCTCCCTTGAATGTTCCTCTCAGCTTACTAATAAATGTCCCCTTCACACTACTTCTGAGGAACCCTAGCCCACTTCTAGACTCTACTTTAGAATGTTCCCTTTAGCCTTACATTTGAATGTTCCCTTGAACCTGCTTCTAATTTTTCACCCTATTTTTAAATACTCACATCACCCTTCTTCAGTGTTTCCTACACTCCATTTTGAATTTAAAATTTTTTTAAAGAGCTACCTCAATGCTCTCCACAAAGGGCTTTTTCTGTATTGTTTCAATTCCTCATAGCTGATCAACCTCGATTCCTCCTCCCTTCCATAGTTTTTCTGAATTAATAAATTTTTGAAAGTATTCACACTCATACTAAGGATGAGAAGGTTACCCGAAACCCTGACCTTTTTCTGTCTGAAACCCGATCCGCAGAGAAATCCGACTCGAGACCTGCCCCGACTAGTTCCCAGCACGGTCCATTCCTTCCCCCATATACCTCTTTATCTTTCCTCATAACTCGTCCTTGCTCTCCCCTCTCCAAATCATTAATATCCGCCATATTTCCATCCTTCCCTCCATTCTTTATTAAAATACTATCTTCATCATTTCCACCATTCTTCTGATCCTCTGCAATTTCTTCTGGATTTGTTGTTTTTTCGATTATATTGGTTGAATCAGACATTTAATTTAAAAATTCGAGAATATTATTTTATTTAGAACCACGTTTTTTGACAAAAACGTCTCTCTGCAATAATTAAAATCGATGGAGGGATATTTGGAATATTAAAAATAATTTTTTGTTTGAACAATTGTTTAAAAATTTTATTTTTTAAAAATATTTTTGGGGAGGAAGAATAGAAAAAAATAAAAAATGAAAATTTAAATTGAAAATTAAATTGGAGGGCTTGAGAATCGAACAGATCAAAGTTGGATACCTCGAAGAGTTATTGCCTGCATTGACGAGTTTTTTGAATGAGATATCATCTCTAGAATATTTATCCTTCTGACTTCAAAGTAACATACCCATGGAAGAGGATTAACCCTTGTTGGAGAATATACCCCTGCGAAGATCTCTTCGAATGGAGTATCTCTTTCTGATGGAACATCCTTTTCACCTCTAACTGGTTAGGTCCTTTGGAGAGAACATTTCCTTTCGAAGAGAACATAACACACATCTGAATGAACCTCTTCGAAGTGAAAATACTTTCTCTGAAAGGAACATATTACTTCGAGGAGAACATATCCCTTCGAAGGGAACATCTCTCTCATTGTAAAAAGCATAATTTTAGGAAATAAATTTATTTAACACTCCCTGAAGGTCCATAAAGGGCTTCGGGATTGAAATGGAGAGAATCAAGTCTATTTTCCTTTCATTCGAGGTAATTTTAAAATTTTTACCCCTAAAAACCCTTAACTATTTAACCCCAAACTCGCCCAAAAAAATAATTTTATTGATTAAATAGTCACATTTTTAAAGTTAAAATCAGCTTAAAAATAGCAAAATATTAATAAAATAAAACACAAAAATTATCGGCTGTTTTTACCTCTTTTACCAAAAAAAAATAAAATAAAATTTCCTTCACTTTCCCCCTTTTCTCGTGCAGTCGACGGAAATTGTAGCGGTCGTATATCCTTTTATGGTCTAAATTTTCCCCTTCATTTTTGGGGAATTTTTGATAAGAAAAATAAATAAATATTTACAAATTTATTTTAATAAAAAATTTTATGGGAAAATAAATTTTATTTTTGAGTGGAATTGGTGAGAGTTTAAGAGAAATTTATTTATATGTGTTAATTTTGAGTGTTAATTAGAAGCTCCCTTAGTTTTTAGGGAAACATGTGTAGATAAACGGAGGATAAGGCCTAGAATAGTGTAGATTTTAGGCGAAATTTCTTAAAATTTTTTCTATAGGATATGGTTGTTAGGTTTAGGACTTTGAGAAGACGAAGGAAACATTCATCACATCCCGAAGATAACCTAAACCTCTTAAAGTAACACACTACTATGCAGTTAGCAATAACTTAGAATGGAGCTCTCCTCACTAAAGGGCATATATTCCAAGGGTCTCAGTTTCGCGTTTCGTCTTTCGCGAATTTTCTCGTCCGAAGGGTTACCTTCCCATTTTGGGAGAGTATATCTCTCTCCCCCCACCAAAATTTTGCACTGTATGCAGATAATAAACATTCCTAACTTCAAAGCTCCTATCATCTTTTTTAAATTCTTAAAATATTTTTGCATAAGGTTGACGTAAAATAAAATAATTAATACTTTTCATTTTTTGTTTTGGCCTTATTTTTTCAGTAAAAATACAATAATTATCACAAAAATTAAATATAAAAGTTTATCAGTAAATTTAATTAAAGTAGCAATTACACAATTTTTTTGTTAACTAAAATTTGTACTTTGGGTGAAATAAATTTCGAAAGAAAAATTAAATATTTAAAAAATTTTTGAAAATTCTTTCGATTTTTTATGATTTCTATCTGGCATCTTTCTTAGATAGTTCCAGGAAATAGATGTTCTCGATCCGTAAACGGATTTGATTGTGTAATGAAAATAGTTGTGTGGTGAAAATATTCGAGTAATCGAGCATACTGTTTAGTGTAAACGGACCATAAGTAGTGCGAAGGGAACATAAAGTAGTGTGAAGAGAACTGAAGTAATGTGAAGGGAACTTAAGTAGAGTGAAGAGAACAGAAGTAGTGGTAAGGGAACTTAAGTAATGTGAAAAGAACATGTGTCGTGTGAAAGTAACATGGGTATAGGCTGAAGGGAAGATAAGTAGTGTGAAGGGAACATCGTAGTGTGAAGAGAACACAAGTAGTGTGAAGGGAACATGATTAGACTTAATGGAACATAATTGCCCTTAAAATTAGAGAGTATTCTTTACAGGAGAGACTCTAATAGAAGGTGATCCTAGGTCATTTCTAACAGTAGTTCTAGTTGAATTTGATAAGCAATACATTTGTTGATTTTGTTGTGGATTTACTGTTGCTGTTTTATTTGTTTGAATGTTAATTTGTGTGGAGATTCGGCATGTTTTTAATATTAAATTTAGGAATTTTAAGAGAACAGTTTTTATGTCGTTTAGTAATATTTTGAATAAATCGTAGTAGTCAATACTTAAGATTAAATGAATTAAAATTAAAATGTGGCATTCTTTCATTTATCGGAGAAGATATAGGGTGAAGGGAACATTGGAAGTTCGAAGGGAACATTGGTAGTGTGAAGGGAGCGTGGGTGGTGTGAAGGGAACATGGGTAATGTGAAGGGAACATTGGCCGTGTGAAGTGAACATTGGCAGTGTGAAGGGAACATGGGTAGTGTGAAGGGATAGGGGACATAGGTAGTGTGAAGGGAACATTAGTAGTGTGAATGGAACATTGGTAGTGTGAAGGGAACATTGGTAGTGTGAAGGGAGCATGGGTAGTGTGAAGGGAACATGGGTAGTGTGAAGGGAACAAGGGTAGTGTTCCGTTCACTTTCCAGAAGGGACCAGAAGGGACCCGATGCCAAAACAATGCCAAAAAATTTATTTACCTGTTCATATAAAGAACAATCGCATTAGTCAACGGCCCCATTAAAATAATACAAACAGATAAATTCATCAAATACCAATTACAAATGGCCGAAAAATCAGAAGTAAATCCAAGCAATAAAGAGCCAAACAAGACAGTCCCCACGTGGACAGAAACAATTAAAGAGAGGGATTTTAATAATTTTAGTTGATTTTGGAATAAATTGGTTTCCAAGTTGTTAACGTTCTTTTTGGTGTAAATAGCTGAATTATAGTACCATTTTTTGACTTTTTAAATAAATTTATTATTACAGTAAATTCTCTACAAGAGGCTCTCCTATCTTTTGTATTACCCTTGAAAGAGAGTCTGTTAGGGAGAGAGGGTCTGCTATAGAGAGGGTCTGTTATAAAGATGGTCTGTTATAGGGAGGGTCTGTTATAAAGAGAGTCTGTTATAGGGAGGGTCTGTTATAAAGGGGGTCTGTTATAGAGAGGGTCTGTTGTAGAGAAGGTCTGTTATAGGGAGGGTCTGTTATAAAGAGGGTCTGTAATAGAGAGGGTCTGTTGTAGAGAAGGTCTGTTATAGAGAGGGTCTGTTATAAAGAAGGTCTGTTATAAAGAGCCTCTGCTATAGTTTTTCAATTCTCCCTCACAGAAGGACCTATTTTAGAGAATTTACGGTACTTTTGTTAGTTTTTGGTATTATGAAATATTTATTGAGTTTTGACATTTTAGAATTTTCCCTAGTTGACATTTTGAAATTTATTCGGTTAGTCCTCCGACTCCGATGGCTCTACCCCGGTAAACCTCAATCCCCGACGATCCCGCCCTTAAAGGCTCGGGGTGTACGCTAGTTCATACTTTGAATTTTTCGAGTTTTTAACAATTCGAAATATTTTTTTCCACCTTTTCTCACAATCAGAATAATACAAATTAGGATATAGCAAAATAAAGAAATCCCAATCAGCACAGGTCCAACCAAATAATGCCCCAAATGATTTTTGCTATCCCAACCAATTTGCCCAATAAATCCAGTAACGGGTCTGTTCTCCTCAATTTCACATTTTTTCCACAATTCAACAACATTCCACAACCCATTGATTGTACATAAAAGTACGTTGATTGATGAATACCTGCGTTGAGTTCGTTTAGACATCTGAAATTTGTGGGGGAAGTAAAACTAGTATAAAAGGCTGACAGAAATTATTTTTCTTTGGTTACTCAGTGAGTCACTTTCCATTTTTGACAAGTTTATTTAATTTATCTTTTTAAAAGAAAGGTAGAAAATTGTAATTTTAAATGTTTTTACGTGCCATTTATTTTTATACTTTACAACACGCAAAATGATGTTTTAAGAATAAAGGTTATTTGTGTTAAAAATAGGGGGTGATTTGTACCCTATTTTTCGAAATATGAAGCTAAAATACTCGAGAAATGTCGAATACTTTATAATAAAGTAAGTAACATTCTGTATAATAACACTTCCTTTGATAACTTCTATTCATTTTAGAAAAGTTGAGTGTGGCGTCGATGGTGGCCTATTACTCGGCATATAAGGTCCCCTTTACCCTACTTTCGAATGTCCCCTTCAGCCTACTTTCGAATGTTGCTTTCACCCTACTTTCGATTGTCCCTCTCACCCTACTTTTGACAGTTCCCCTTATCCTATTTATAAATGTCACTTCACACTAGCTACTTTAAGAAGTCCCTCCATTGTTTATAGTTCCCAGCTTCCTAAATGAAATTAACATACCTGATTATATTTAATCGGGATAACAACAGCTATAAGTCTATCAATCGCAGTAAAAGCAATACAAGTCAATGAACATTGAATGCCAAAAAGTGCCGGAATTAGTAAACGCATGGATTGAAAAGTGCCAATAAAATTAGTTGAAGAAGTTGCAACAAAAAAGAAGGGGAAAGGATGGGTTAGTTGAAGAAGATCAAAAAAAGCATTCAATGCAATTAAAAAGTTGGCGGTACTGTTGAGTTTATTCCTATGTATAGAAAAAATTTTTTTAATATTCCTCTAGCATTATAATTAATGTTCCCTTCACTCTACTTTAAATCATATTTATGAGGTTCTCTGAACCATTTTGTATGTTCCCTTCACCCTACCTACATATGAATGTTCCTCATCTGTATCTTTAGTTTAAATGTCCTTTCACCCTACTTTTGAATGTTCCCTTCACCCTACTTATGAATGTTCCCTTCACCCTACTTTTAAATGTTCCCTTCGCCCTACTTTCAAATGTTCCCTTCGCCCTACTTTTAAATGTTCCCTTCGCCCTACTTTTAAATGTTCCCTTCACACTACCTGTTCATGTTCCTCTCACCCTACCTTCAAATGTTCCCTTCACCCTACTTTGGATGTTCCCTTCGCTCTACAATTTTAATCTTTTAATGATTTACCTATATTTAACAGACACATAAATGATTCCAGCGTTTAACGGAATTCCAATAATAGCAATCAACGTTAATAAAACTGAAGGTAGAATTAACGCAACTTTAGGCCCTTGTTCAGTTGACAATAGATAAAATAACTATAAAATAATTTAAATTTTAATTAATAAGCTCCTTTATAACCTTTGTGTCATCAGATATGCTTTTGTTGTCTTGAATATTTTCAATTAGAAAATTATTATTTAATGACATTTTTATTCTTAAAAAATAATTAATTTAATTTTAAGTTTAAGCTTAATTTCCAAGTTTATTTAAAGCTGAAATTTATTGCGTTACGCTATGTTGAGGCAACCTTAGGTCAGTCAAAGCCGATAACTTTTGAATCCCTCAACCGATTCGGCTTATCTTGGTGTCGTTTAATAGATAATTAAATGGGCTACAAGGTATATAATGAAATGAAATTTTATAAATATTGAGGAGATAGCTATGTCAAAAAACGCAATTAATATAATAAGAGGCATAAAACTGACATCGAACTGGTCCGAGCCTTATAATTTTTGAATCCTTAAATGGATTAGGCTTGTCTTGGTATTGTTTAATAGAGAATTAAGTGGGCTACAAGGAAAGCTATTATCAAAAAATTTATTTAAATTATTAAAATAATTAGGGTTATAAAACTGACTGCAACCGTATAGCCTCGAGGCCCGTCTAAGCCCAGTAACTTTTAATACCTTGAGCCGATTCGGCTTGTCTTTGTAGGAATTAATAAAAAATTAATTTAGTTAAAAATAAATTTTGTAAAGAAAAATTTTATTTAAATAACTAAAATAGGTATGGCCATAAACTGGCCATTGTTTTAAGACAATACGTTAATTGTTTCAGATTTTATTATGTCAGATTTTATTTATAAATTTTATTAATTTTTTTATTTCTTTTGTGTCAAATTTAATTTAATTCACTACTAAAAATATAAAATTTAATTTTTTTTTAATTTAATTTAATTTGCAGAGACAAAAAAGGAGAAAAATTTAATTTAAACGACACTTGGTCTAAGCCATATTGAGCTTGGAGAAAATTAGCAAGAAATAGAAAAATTAAAAATTAATTTAAAAAATATTTCATAAATAAATAATAAATCTTTTTGAGTAAAAAAATTTTTCTTTCCTTTATAAAAAAATTTTTTGGCACAAAAAAGACAGAAAAAATGCCATTCTTTATTATACTATTGCGTGATTATTAAAACATTAATGTAAATATTTTTTTATTTTTAAATAATAAATTTGTGACATTTTTAAATTTCTTTTGAATTAAAAAAAAATATTTTTTTCTGTTTCTTTTTTAAATTTTTGTATTTTGTTGATATTTAAAATTAAGTTTTGGTTCAGTATCAGTTAAATACTTGACTACATTTTTGGGATTTTCAGGGAATTGAATACGTGTTTCCTGCGTCTTAAAAAATTGAATACGCATTTCCTGCGTCTTAAAAATATTTTTTTATAATTTTTTTCTGTCTATTTTGTGTCTAAAAAATTCTTAAAAATTATGAGAAATTTAAAAAATATTTTTCAAACATACAAATTTATATAGAAAAATTTTTTTATTTAATTTTCGGTTAAATTTATGTAAATTAAAGGGTATTATTATTCATATTTTGTGTCCAACAGGAAATAAAAAATGATTTTTTCAATAATAATTAATTTTATAATTTATAAAAAAATTCAGACGTTATAATTTGTTTAAAAAATTTTTTTTATTAAATTTTATTTAAATTATAGACCTTTAAAGGTGATAATTTTAATAAATTATAGTGCAAACTGTGAAAAAAAATATTTAAAAATTTAAAAATTAATTAATATTTAGAAAGAAAATTAATCTTAAATGATTAAAAAACGGAAAAGATTTTTTTAAAATAATTTTAAAAATAAAAGAACAATTTTTAATTTAATTAAAGAAAATGCTTAATTAAATTTTACACAATATATGTTTATTTATTAAAAATTGAAACAAATTAAAACTTGAAACAAAACATTAATAAAAAATAAAACTTGAGTAATCAAAATAAAACTTGTATAAAAAGCATTATGTTTACGTAACAATGCTTATTAAAAATTAATTCCGCCTGTTTTTAAAAACATTGTTTTAATTAATTATTCCTTTGTTGTTTTATTTCCGCCTGTTTTTATAAAATTTTAAATGTTTGTGAAATTTAAATACGCCTGTTTTGTTAATTTATGTTTTATGAAGTTCCGCCTGTTTTATTAAATTTTGCCTGTTTCAGATTTTTAATTCCGCCTGTTTTACCCTGAATTATTAAAACATCACGTTTATTTATTAACAAGTTTATTTAAGTTGGAAGCAGGCGGAATTCAAGTTCAAGTTAATTTATTAGAAAAAATCATTAAGTTCATTTAAACATCACATTTATTTAGCAAGTTTATTTAAATTGGAAGCAGGCGGAATTTAATTTGTAAAAATAATGTTTATTTAATTATAAAATTCAGCTTCTCTCCAAAGAGTCTTTGTGTCTATTTGCACCGCTATCCTATAAATAAAGGCAATAATTTTGGAATAATTTAATAATTATTAAATACCGTATTTTCTATATTAAACCCACCCCCCCATCTCTTGGAAGATGGTTGAAAATGTAGCCCCTCCCCTCTGAATGGGGGGGGGGGGGAGGGAGGGGGACTACATTTCAGCCCACCCCACTCTGCCCCTTTTTAAAAACCCCACTTTTGAGGATGGTTGAAAGATAGTGCCTCCCCTGTGTTAGAGACCCTCACCCCACCTATCTAATAAAGCACTTCAACCCCCTTTTGGAATATATTTAAAAAGTAAAGTCCCAGAGGCTTTACAACAGAAAATACGGTAACTCAAAAATTACCAGTGTAAACGATTTCCCAAATCGACTAATCCTCTTCTGGATTTGTATCGGCCTCATATTCGACAACGATATCTTTCTTAGCGGTGTACTTGCTGAAGAGGAAGCATGGTGTGATGGGGGCTTGGAGAAGGGCTGTGCAATAGTTATTCCAGTCACTCCAGTCACTGGAGAGTTTGAGCCGGAAACTGAAGGGATGGCGCAGGAGGGCATTGAATAGTAGAAGAGTGGACTTCTTGGACGTTCAGAAGGCTTCCGACTCTTGAAAAAATTTTTAGGTTGGATAGATGGGTGATTTTGGGTACCTTGTCAAAATACTTCCCGGGCACCTGATCTCGTTTTTCCAATAAAAAGCGTCCTGAACCGCTAGTCCATCTACTCTGAATTTTCCAGATATTCTCGTTTGGATCCAGCATTCGATATCTAACGGGGGCAGAAGTGCCACTCGAACCTACAGACTTTTTGCCTCCTCCAAAAGCTAACTGAGCTGCTGTGTTGTGTGGAATTGATGTCCCTTCTTTACAGTGTACCTCCTCAACGAGAGCGTATTCTTCCAATTTAATGTCGAAACGTTGGGTTTTGGCAAAGATCTATAAAAAGTTTGAGTAGTGTGAAGGGAACGTAAAGTAGTGTGAAGGGAACATAAAGTAGTGTGAAGGGAACACAAGTAGTGTGAAGGGAACATAAGTAGTGTGAAGGGAACATAAGTAGTGTGAAGGGAACACAAGTAGTGTGAAGGGAACATAAGTAGTGTGAAGGGAACATAAGTAGTGTGAAGGGAACATAAGTAGTGTGAAGGGAACATAGTAGTGTGAAGGGAACATAAGTAGTGTGAAGGGAACATAAGTAGTGTGAAGGGAACATAAGTAGTGTGAAGGGAACATATGGTTAGTGGAAGAAATACTTAACGGTTAGAAGAATGTATTAGCTACCTGATTAATCACGTCTTTAGCAGTGTTGTTCACACTAAAATTAAAAATTAATCAAATAATCAATGACAATATCAACCTTGTTCTCAATATAGCATAAGGATGGTTATCGCTAATGTTGTGAATGCAAACAATGAAGGTTTCCCCCATAGATTTGGCTCGTGGATGCATGCCTGTAAGGTAAAAGATGCTTAATCACAATTTAATTCCATTCCCTCACCCGGCTCTAAACTCTCTCCGGCATGAGCCCCGGATGGCTCGATAACATCAACAGACGATCTACATGTTAAATTAATCGCTCCAGTTGGCGATTTTGTTCGTTGACCAGAACCATCCTCTGCTCCTTGACCAAGAGACTTTCGAGGAGCTAAGGGTGTTTGATGAGATTGTTGTTGTTGGGATATTCCTCCTCCTTTCATTATTGCCGAGAATAGTGAGGAACGACCTGTAGCGGGGTCCTATAGTGAGAAAATTAAGTACTCCGTGGCAACTAATTTTGTTTTAATCTAGTGAATGAAGCAAAGTAATATGTTTAAAATTGGAATATTTCCCGAGATAGATGATCATGCCTCTGATCATGTCTGATCATTATTATGCTTCTGAATCATGACCATGCTTCTGAAGCATTGAAACAAATTTTGCTTCAGACATTTGCTTCGAGATAAGAAAAATGAGCATGCTTCAGTTTATTAATAATGCTTCAACTTTAACAAAGCTTGAATTTAAGGAAGCAACTCTTGGGTGAAACATGTAAACATCAATCAAAATTTGTTGCTTACCACATTTTTCTTTCTCAAATGGAACCGTCTAGAAGCCCCATTCCAACACATTACAGCATCTAATATAGGCTCATTATGCGGCAATATTCTATGCTGTGATTGAGAATGTAGCTTCGTTGCCTGGTCTATTGAAGTCGAAGTAGAGAAGAAATTTGTGGTTGTTTCACTAGTTGAAGGTGGTTGTTGACCAAAAATATTGGCAGAAGCATCTAATGGATAAACCGAAGATAATGCTGTGGCTGAAGCTGAAGCAGAAGGGGAAGTTGAGTTTGGAGGTACTGGGATAGAAGGAATATTCTCTTCGAAAAGAATATAATCATCTGGGTTTTCTGCTTGTTTGCCTGCGTTGGAGAGAGCTTTTGCTATTACTGAACGAACGGTGCTGCTTGATTCGGCATGGACCTGGTAATTATTCAAATAATGTTAAGCCCATTTAAGTCTGATGAAGCATATCATATGTTCCCTTCGCACTGTATCGTGTGAAGGGAACATGTGTAGTGTGAAGGGGCCATGGGTAGTGTGAAGGGAACATTTGTAGTGTGAAGGGACCATGGGTAGTGTGAAGGGAACATGTGTAGTGTGAAGGGGCCATGGGTAGTGTGAAGGGAACATGTGTATTGTATGAACAGAACACTTTTAAAATTCTGAGCCTTGCACTCTAAAATGCCAATTTTTGTTATGTTATCTCTACATTTTTTAAATATATTTATAAAATCTTTTTACCACAACGCTGGTTGTATCATCTGGAAAAAGACCCAATATTCTGATAATGAAGATTTGCCGTCTCAAAATAAACAATGGCTTAACGTTCGCTTCAGGGTCAATTTTCAAAACTTGGTAAAGCATTTCTGGCTCATAATTGTTGTTTGTTCCCATACTGATTGAACCAGAATGGGGTTGTGAGTTTGAACATGCTGAGTGAGGGGAATGTTGGGCGGAGTATGGAGCGCCGTAAGGAAGGGGGTGATCTTCCTCGTGAAGATAGATATGTTCTTCTTGTTCGAAGCGAGTACTGTAATAATTTTGTTAAACTCCAGATAGCATCATAATATAGGGAATATAGTAAGGAAGGTTCCCTAAAAAGGCTCCACAGGTTCTTGCAAGATATAAGGTCCCAAATGGACCCATAGGAGGTTCCCCAAGATAAGAAGGTCTCAACGAAAATTTTATTAAAATATAACTGGATATGAATATGGCCTCAAAATAAGAAATGAAGGTACTTGGGTGTTCCGAAGGAATGCTCTTATAACTTGAGAGAGCTGCTGAAATCCTCAAAAATCCTCACCGTATAAAAAGTAGAGATTGCTCCAACGGTTGATTATTCGGTGTCCTCAACGGCAAGTGTCTATAACCAGGTCTTAGACACCTTACAGGAACAACCCTCTGACTAAGCAATTTTCCATTGTCCCCATCATATACAGAAATCCGTAAAAAAGCAAGTTCAACAAAAACGATTCGAAAAGTAGAGGAATGGTTCCATATTGGGTTGACAGAGTTGCGTCCACTACTTGATCCAGAGGATTTGCTCTTTTCTTTTACACAATCAGCTGGGACGCCGATAATTTCAATTTCAAGGGTTGGGTTGGCTGAGAACGATCCTGGACTGACATATTGTCCGGAAATGATTGTTAATTGAAGTATGATTGCTGGACACGACGAAATTTCCTTTTTAGTAAATAAATGAATGTTAGGGTATATTGGGAATATAATAAACTCCGGTCATTAGGGAGTCAATGACTCCGGTTATAGACATTTACTCCGGTTATAGACACTCTAAAAGGTGTCAAATGTTACAGTTAATGATCACGAATCCAGAAACGGTCCTTTTTTCTCAGGATCCATTTTTACGTTTCACATATTCTGAGTGGTTCAGTTTGAAGATTCCATGACCCGTTTCCTGAACCACAATTTATGAAATATATTCCGGTGACCGGAAATACAATTGCTTGAGTAAAGCAGTTGATACAACAAAGGGTCTAGCAGAATGACCGGTGTGGGAATAACCATTTACGTACCTTAGAATAAGGATTAAATTTTCCAAAAAGAGGGTGATTAGCATCCCACAAAGCTCTAGGCTTCAAGATATATCCACAATTCCCGGTCTGTTCAAACATTGCAGTATTTACAGCCATAGCTACATCTGCAGTTTGAAAATTGAGAGCTACCATCTTTGAAGGGAATTTTATACACATTTTACTAACAAATTTTTCACCTGCAACCCGCTTTGCCAAAATTCTAGAAGTCGTTGTGGACTAAAGTTGGAGGAATCAATTCTCATACCTCCAGGATAGGTTCTCCTTTATTTAAAATTCTCAATAAAAAAAATTTTTTCCCTTACATGATATGATTTCTGGTATAGCTAATACATTTTTGAGCATATTTCCGGCACAACTTTCTAGCTGATGCTTCAGTTAGGGAGCTTACCTTTAAATAAAATTTAAAATGTTTTTCAAATTTAATTATTTTTTTAAGTTTTCAAATTTAAGTTTCTCCCAGTTTAATTAGTGTCAGGGAATCCGTGGACAATCCATCAGTGGTCCGGAATCCGTCTGTGAACAAATCAGTCAATTCTAAGGTTGCCCAACTTAAAGCCGCCAAAAATTTTTATTTTATGTGTGGGGGATTAAAAGGGATATCGAGGGATTTGGGGAATTAAGAGGGATATCAGGGAGGGTTTGGCGGGAGTAGGAGAAGAGGGGGAGGTGGGTTGGAGGTATATCGGTGGCTTTTTGGATTCCAATTAAATTTGTTTCAAGTTCTGCTTCAAGTTTATTTATATTTTTTCATTAATATTAGCAACTTGATAGCATGAAGCTTGAGAGTTTGGCGATTGCTGTCTATTTGTATTAGAGGAAGATAGTAAATTTGTCGCATTATTTTGAGTAGAAGTTGAAGCAGTTTGCTCCTGTACATTGCTAGTTGAGGGTTGTTGCTGTTGGGGTAACGGCTGTTGTTGTACAGGCTGAAGAGTAGATGGTGAATCTCCTTTGTCGCTCCCATTGCTTAACTGGGCACTGACCAGCTTAATCAAAACTTATAGAAGATAAGCAAGTTAATCACTATACTTGTAAACATCTAGTTGATTCTGCTGTTGAAATTTGTATGCTACTCTTTGGACGCTTCTGATGAGCCTGTTGGATGTTAGGCTCGATGTGGGAGGGTACTGTAGCTGAATAGGAACTCAACATTGTAGGTGCAAGGGCACGCATTCGAGGAGTTCCGCCAAAGCTTGAAAGGGGATTATATTTAGATTTTAAGAGATGGACGAGTTACTGACTCCTGACATGACCCGAATCACACAACCCGAACTCGAGAACTTCCCGGAACCAGCCCCAAAACAAGACTTTTCACTCAAGCCTCCCATCTCTGTTTTTAAGATAAGCACACACCTGTTGGAGCATGGCCTCAGCTCTCCACTCCCAATTCCACTACTTCCAATGGTATCAAATCCAACATTGGTTCCTCCAATCTCTCTAAACCCTATAGGAATCTCTGTTGTTGTAACCACAAATCCTTTAAATTTTACAGCTTGCATATAAATAACTAAATCTGAGAGTTCCTGAGCAATCTGATGCCCACTGCTAGAAGCTCTAGTTATTGCAGCTGTTGTGGTAGTGAATGTGGAACCACGACGACCAATTTTGGCATGGTGATGGTGGCAATGGCGTTGGCTGTAAATTTCTTTTATTTTTTGGACTTATAGCCATTTAAGACGTGAACAAACGACCCTGTGAAGGAAGCATACCCCTGCTATCCTTGTGAAGGGAGCGTATCCCTACTAAGAGACCATACACCTCCTTTACCCGAGGAGGGAAAGTTTATGTTCTCTGCGAATGGAAAATACCCTTGCGAAGGGAACATACCCCTTCTAACAGTACATATCCTTACAGATGTGAAAGGAACATCACCTTTTTGAAAGAAACATAGCCTTTCGTAGGGAACAAAAATACTCTTAAACTCCCTCAAAACTCACCATATATTTCCAATTTGCGAAATCGCATCATCCTCATTCCTCAAATCCAACCTTGGTAGAACAACCAAATCTTCCCCTCCAAGTTTCTTCCTGTTCTGTAAGCGTCTACTAGCTGCTGGACTTGCAATAGAAGCTATAGCCCCAGCAACCTGGCTAAGTCCTCTAGTTCTGTCATTATTGGCAAAAACACTGCTATTTAGTGAATCTTTACTGGAATGCCGATTAGATGAAAATGAGGTTCTAATAATTGGAATTCCTTTCATTGGAGAGGCTGTATCGCCTTAAAATAAAGAGCATTACATGTCTTTTAACTATCAGTTCACCCTCTGTTCGTATTTCAACATCAGTCTCAGTCGGATCATCCTCCGTTGCAACATCCTCATCATCCAAATACTCCAACTCATCATCCTCCATATCATCAATAGAAGAAGATTCATATGACCCTTTCCTTGAACAGCTTCCATGATGAGCAACCTCAGCACCTAAATCACTCCTATGTCGGTGATGAAGAGGTATATATCCACCAGCACCACAACCATTACCACCGATTAATATGTCACCACCGTAATGTGAATCAAAATGTCCAATATTGGTTGCGTAAATACCGGCGGAAGGCTCTGCAATCATTTTCTTATTTTTTATGATAATTTTGTTACGAAGTTGCCAAGGAGAACTGAAAGGGATATTTTAATTAATGAGAAACATATGTATGTACTACCCTCTTGCGCAGAACATATTTTTGTAAATAACACTTCAAGAGGAACATACCCTTTCGGAAGGAACATGTCCTGTGAAAGGAAGAAAATGTCCTTGTGAAAGGAACATGTTCTTGTGAAAAGAACATATCCTTTCGGAAGGAACATGTCCTTGTGAAAGGAACATGCCCCTTCGAATGGAACATGCACCTTCGAATGGAACATGTCTTTGTGAAGGGAACATATCCTCCGAAAGGAACATAACCCTCGGAAGTGTACCTCCTTCTGAGAGAACATACATACACCTCCGAGGGGCATAACTCTCATGCCCTCCCATAAAAAACTTGAACTTACGGCAATCTAGGGCTCTCCATATAATCAGTATCGAACAGATAGGAAGTAACTAGACGATCTCCAAAAGCACTTTTAAACATTTGTGCCATCTTTGCCTGTTGTTGCAATGAGCAGTGATTTTCAATACTCAAAATAACTGGTAATTGGCTTTGCTGGAATGCACTCTTTTTGATTATATTTACAACTAAGCGAAAGCTTATTTTTGTAGTTAAGGTGTGTCCGTGATAGATCAAAGGCAAACCATCGTCTCCATCCCAACAGTCGAGTTCTACACAACGACAGCCTGTTTGGAGGACCTATAAGAGGCAAATTAAGTGAATGAGAGGAGGGAGCCATGCCCAACATGGGATAACATCACACATCCCCACCTGTCTGTACATTTCTGCCGAGGATTCCCCTTTCAATTGATGCCCAGTCAAATAAGTATTATGACTCGAACAAATGTAATAATAACTGAGAGGATACTGTAATTGTTCTTCAGAAGGTTGAATCTGTTCCGGGACAAAAGCAAAGTTGGTTGAGTCTAAAAGGGGTTAGAGAAAGATTATCTTAACGCATAATTTAATGCCCACCAGAAAGGAACCGTACAAATCCTTCAAAGGACATTAACTGTTTGGCACGGTAGCCAGGATCGGGTTCATGTTCTTGTATCAGTCTGGCAGCATATTGCTCGTCAATATACTCCATTTGCTAGAGAGAACTTTTAAATTCTTTTTTATTTTTTTCTACAAGCACCTGTGTACAAATAAAGTGCTTCAAGGAAGCCGGGGTTAAAAAAGCATTTCTCGAAGTATCCATGGGTCCTGAAGAGGAAACACAGGCCAATGCCAAAGCATTATATATTTTCTGTTGTTTATCATTCAATTGGCAAAGGTGGTAAGCTGTGTTTCTGGTGAGTACATCGTCTGGTACAAATTCATTACTGGGAGGGCAGCTGTTGACCTAGTAGAGTTAATGAGAGTTAAGGATTTTTGTAAAGGAGAAAAGAAGAGCGGAGTAGGAAAGGAAATGGGGGAGATAATCGGATAGTATCCTGGATGAGTCTTTTTGTGTTAAATGCCTGAGGAAGGATAATGGAAGAAGATGGAAAGAATAATGCTGAAAATGGTCACAAAAATAGTACTAAGAAAAACAGGGTTCTGAGTAGTAGAACCTGTGAAATCCTAATTTTTTATTGTTGCCGTAAAGCTTCACTGTCTCTCAAGGGTCATTGGACTCATAGCTTAGACCAGAGACTATATTTGTAAAAAATTCCTAAAAAGTTACCGATTCAAGTCGTGATTGCACTCGAGGACTACAAGTTGCTTTATCACTACTTGCCCGTTTCGGCACGTGAGAATTGGCACTTGAATGTGTTGCAATGACAAATTCATTAAATAAATCCCTCACATCCTTAACGAAAAAAATTTTTTTTGCCTTAATAAATTTGTTTCCTGCCTTTCTCATTCTTGTGTTGAATAGACGGAAAAGTTCAACAAACTCCTGAAATATTAAATCATTTCCATTTATTTTCTCTCCAACTACCGTAAACGCTATAGGCCTTTCTTGATACTCCTTGCCAGAACTGCTGAGTAACGCGCCAGACATTTGACCGCCAACGCCTCCACCACTGCTGGAAATAGAGCCGGAATTTGGCGTTTCGCCGCCACGTGAACGCCAAGACTAGGATAGATCCGATAGTGAGGTAACTAAAAAATAAGAATTTCTAGTACCTTTATCGAACGGCCGCCAACAGAACGGCCTCCATAAGACGATGAAGTAGGCGTTCGAGAACGAGGTGTATACAACGAATCGAGATCTCCTGCATCCGATAAAGCACTAGCCGATTCAATGCCCACACGAGGTTTGAGGAGATAGGGTAATGGACTATGCGGGCCGGGAGGTCCACTTTGGCTGCTCAGTTGGCTTCGAATAGAAGGAGGGCGTACCTTGAAAATTTTTTGAAAAATTTTTGAAAAAATTCCAAAATATTTTCGAAACCATTGGAGAATGGGGTGCCGGACTTGTACTTCTAGAACAATCTCTACTGCTACTTCCCTTTACACGCCTAGTAACAGCAATAGTCATCTGACGTAGTCTACTCTTTGAACGACTTCCACCACATTCAGTAGACGGGGAAGAATCGGTTTGACGACCATGAGGTGAATACAAAGTTGTGGTTGTTTGGTTAACACTTAAATTCTTCCATTTTTCTACCCGCCCACCAAATGCTTGGAGAGCATCTACGGGTCTAGGACCAATTCGGCGTGTTGTTATTGTTGGGAATTCAGTTGAGAGGGGACTGTTGTTGTTGTTGTTACTCGAAGAGATAAGTGGAGGAACTGAAGCGAGTGAGGGTGTTGGAGCTCCAAAAGCTATGGAGGTTTTTGATGTTAGTCCGGATTGTTCTCTCTCCTGTTCGCTGTATAGTTGAAGATAAAGACGTTTGAGCCATATTACACGCCTGTCGGGATTTCTGTTTTGTTCGTGGATGAATTTGACTACCTAAAGAGTTAGGCATGATTATATAAGGTAGTTGAGAGGAAACTAGATTTATGGCTATTGATCATAGATACAATGCTTCCAGTTCCAAAAAATCGAACAGCTTCGCTTCCGACTTGTTCAAAATCTTGGAGGGTCCCGTTTCCGTGAACCAAACTGAAACGGCTGTTTGGAACAGAAACCAGAGCCGCCGGTTTCTGTTCTACACGGTTCCGGACTCTTGTAGACTTATGGTTCTGTCAACTCAGTTCCGAGACAGCTGTTTTGAGTAGTAACCCGAGCTCGATGGTTATGGTCAATCGGTCCCGACTCTTGATTTCTCCGAGGTTGAAGGTTCTCTGTCTTTGTAACTGGAGAGCTTCTCTGTTCCTGGAACCGGGAAGCACTGCTTTATAGATACCTTCTCCAACCCCATCCAATATTGAGCAATCTGTTGAGGAGCAAGAAAGTAGAGAAACTCGTTATCATTTAAAGAACATCCAAAATTAATAGTCCAACACATAACCGGAACACTCATTTCCTCAACACTGTGTCTACGATATATTGCTTCAATGTCAAGCTCGTATGAATCAACCGACTCAATCGCTTTTATGTAGCTAGTACTTAAAAATCCTTCATCCAGCGTAAAATGGCCTGGAAGTATCAAAAAATATTTAAAAATCTCTTCGAGTGACCTGCGCCCTGAGGGCGTGGAGTCAACGAAGACCCTCCTTGGAATCTATTTCCAGAGGCAGCATCGGCACTTTGTATGTTGGCAGCTTTTGCTACAGCAATTAATTCTCTCTCACGCCCATCACGTCCGCCATAGAAAATTCTATATTTTCAAGTGTATTTTTAAGTTTCCTATCAAATTTTATTATAGTACCTCTGCCAACTGACTGTTGCGCAACTAGCATCTAATCTAAGTTGGCATAAAATACTGCGACCAGAATCTGGATCGTAATGGCTTAAAAACATTTGTTGTTTTTATGTATTATAATAGTGTTATATCGTGATCGGATCGAGACGTTATCTCGAATCATATCAAACATAGTCTCGACTCCTCCATCCGATCCTAGTACTAGATATTAGTGTTTCACCGGGACCGAAATTTTGACCGGAACCGGATCCAGTATGTTTTCCGAAAATTTAAGATTTACTCCGTAATAAAAAATTCCAATAAATAATTATATATTAAAATTTTGTAGAGAAACAATATTGTGTGGAATTCCATTATGGTTTATTTTTGACTGGGGTTCATAAACTCCAAAAAAGTTCAATTACCAAAACATTTTCTATTAAAATTTTGATTTGCCTTTAGTTTTTCGGGTTTACCACTGCCCAACAACAGTTAAGGTAGGCAAATTGTTAACTATAGTGAACAGATCATGCAAAAATCGGAACTTCCGGTGAAACTCTACTAGATATACTAGGATTTTCGGGTTGACACCCAAAAATCTGTAGAAGATGAGGAAATTTATTAACGAAAATTCACTCACATGACCGTAGTTCCATGCTTTAAAAAATATAAAAATTTAAGTTTGTCTAAAAATAGAGAGTCTGTTTTACTTGTATACGTTGTATAACATCCAAATCCAGAATTGTCGTATTTAATGGAATTAACTGAACTCCGTGCGCCGCACCAGGTATTGGTTGGGCAGGTTCGTATAGTTTAGGCTCTGGCGAGTATTGTGGAGATTGAAGCGGAAGTATTGGTAAGGGTAGAGACGATGGTGGAGTTTGACCGTTGTTCCATGTAGAAATGGAAATAGGCTGTAAAATTAAAGAAATTTTATCGTTTAGGGTAAATTTAAAGTAGTATGAGGGAACATACGAAAGTAGGGTGAAGGGAACATTTTTGTACTAGAGTGAAGGGAACATTGAAAGGTAGGGTGAAGGGAACATTCAAAAGTAATGTGAAGGGAACATTCAAAAGTAGGGTAAAGGGAACATTTTTTGTTGAGTGAAGGGAACATTCAAAAGTAGGGTGAAGGGAACATTTTTTGTAGGGTGAAAGGAACATTCAAAGTAGGGTGAATGGAACATTCAAAAGTAGGGTGAAGGAAACATTTTTTGTAGGGTGAAAGGAACATTCAAAAGTAGGGTGAAGAGAACATTTTTTGATGAGTGAATGGAACCTTCAAAAGTAGAGTGAAAGGAACATCCAAAAGTAGGGTGAAGGGAACATTTTTTATTTTTTTAAAACTCAGTATTCCCCATATCAAATTTAATTTAATATGTACCTACCTGTAAATTATTGCAATAAATTCCAGGAGGCTGCGCATGTTGTTGAACAAACACAGCATGAACATCATTAGTATTTTGAACGTCTACAGCAGCTCCATTTGGAGACCCTTCACAAAGCTGGGCAGCAGCCTCAGAAGGGACATATCGAAGGAGTTGGCGATGATGTTTATGGTAAATTTCGAGGTTGTCAAGAATTAGGCAGACCTTTAAAATATTGAAATTAATTGATGATTTTTTGTAATACTACCCACCAAGTTAACTTTATCAGTATTCAACAACCCCCCAACACTGATTTTCGACGAAAAATGATCATCACCATTCATGTCATGAAGAAACTGGAAAAATGATTTCAGTAGGTTTTTACTCCGTGTTTAAAAATTCAAATGAATAATTATTAAAATTTTGTGCAAAATTATGTTATTGTCGATTGGCAAGTAGATTTTTGGAAGTCTTATTTTTGAATGGGGTTGATAGACCCCAAAAAATTTTAAGTCCCATTTAATCCCCTAATTAAAAATTTTTACTTTTAATTTTTCTGCTTCACCATTGTGCCCAACAACCGTTAAATTAGGCAAGTCGTTAACTATAGTAAACAGATCATACAAAAAAGTGCCAAAGAAAGGGATAACTCGACACTGAACCATTCTTAAAGCTCTCTGCATTGCTTCAACATATAAAGGATGGGGAGAGGAAGGTTGCTTTTGAGTACAGCTTCCACGTTCTGAAGAAGATTGCCCCGTTTTTTGGTCATGGGGCAAGAGGACTTCAACATACTCTTCGAAACGTTGACGCTCTTCTTGTTTGAGAGAGAGCCAGAAAGGGCCTAAATTTAAATAAGATTTGTAAAAATAAAAGAAAAAATAAATCAGAATTTTAAATTAATTTTACAATTTGTAGAAAAATACAAATGAAATTACAAATTCAGAATATTACAAGCGGAACAGAAACAATTTAACTATCAGAATTACAAATTAAAATTACAATTCAGAAACAGAATATCAGAATTAATAAAAATAAGAGTAACTAAAAATCAGAATTATAAATCAGAATTAAAAATCAGAATTACAATATCAGAATTTTAAAACAGAATTAAAATTCAGAATTATAAATCAGAATATTAAATCAGATTTACAATTCAGAATTAAAAATCAGAATTACAATATCAGAATTACAAATCAGAATTACAATATCAGAATTATTAAAAATCAGAATTTTACAAACCAGCATACAGAATAAATTACAACTCAGAATTACAAGTAACAATAAGCATTAAAAATCAGAATTTACAAATTGCACTATCAGAAATAATAAATTTTTACAAATCAGAATTTCAAAATTAAATCAGAATATTAAATTAAATAAATTTACGCAATCGAGGGCTCTTCAATCCCAATAATATTTCCACGGCAGCATTAAAATTTCCAATATTCCAGCAAGTATCAACCACCCTTATAATCGCTGCCAAACAACTTTTACGCTCCTCGTGGGTAGGTTGACTGATTATTACGTGTGTAATCCATGAAGAGACTTCTGATAATCGTTTCACTAAATTCTTGACTGGGCTAGGATTATTTTGAATGTCTATATTGGCCAAATCGCATCCCACATAGCGTACAAAATCTATGGGTGCAATGCCGTAGAACATTTGATATTCAGTTGAGGATAGCTTTAAAAATAATTAATTTTTTAAATTGATGCTTACGGGTTTTTTAAGGCATACTTAAAAAGCTCTCCAATCCAATAGCCAGCTAAATTTGAAACCCTATTGTAGATTGAAATTTTTCAAGCAGGGATGGGACGGGGTACTCGCAGTTCTGGCTAAGCGATTGAAAATTTTTTGGATTAAGAGGCTTGTACGAGAGAGATTACATACTTCTTCGGGATTCTCATAACTCTATGCGCGGACTTTGTTCAACTCGAAACACGGCCCTAAGTATTTTTGAAAACCCGATTTTTGGTTGTTTGACATTCGAGCTATTATTTTATTATAGCTACCTGAAAAGCAACTTCCTCTGGGAAATGTAGAATATACTGTAATCTCTCAAGCTCCAATCTAAATAAAGTAATCGGCTCATCCCTATTACATAACAATCCATTGCTATTCCTTATAGAAGAACATGTAGATGAGTAGGAGGTTGTTCTAGACCCTCCACTATGATTTGTGGTTGTCGTCCCCTCTCGACTTTCTGGCCGATCGAAAAGTCCAAAACTTGTTCTGGCTGAACGATTGAACGTCTTTTGGATGAAGAGGCTTGTACGAGATTGCATGATTTCCCAAAGGGTCATTGATATTGATTTGAGTATATTGTAGGAGGGGGCTGGAAAATTTTTGAAAATTTTTTGAAAAATTTTTTTCGAAAAAATTTTTTTAAAAATTTTTTTGAAATTTTTTGGAAAAATTTTTTTATAATATTCTACCAATCAGTTGCCACTTTGTGCCTCTAAATTCTAGTAGCAATTGGTGTTTACTCACACCACCTCCCACTCGCCATTGTTGTAGAGTTGCAGCGTGTTGCCGCCTCAAGGCGAATTTGGAGCATCCATCAAGGAGGCAAAATTGAGAGCTTTTTAAATAAATTTTTTTATTTTTTTACAAAATCCCCTCGATACTTTGACAAACAGAGTAACCGAACATTTTTGCGTAAAGTCCGTCCATGAAGTAATTCTTTAACCTGGTAAACCTTGCAACCATAGGCTGGCAATTTGCGAGCTGTTTGGACATATAGGCGTTTCATGGCCTGTTCTGATTCGTATATTTGGCTGTGAAAAAGTTTTCGTTTGCGTTCCTTAAAGAGAATTTTTTATGATTTTTGATATAAAAATTTGGATTCTGGAGAGGCTTAAATTTTTTTGAAATTTTTTTTGAAATTTTGAAATTTTTGAAAATTTTTGAAATTTCTTAAAAATTTTTAAAAATTTCAAAAAATCCGTAGCTCCCCAAATTCCGTCCAAAATCCCCTCAAAATATTCACCCTAATCAATCTAACAGTCCTTCTATCCCCACGCAAATCCATCGGTAAACATTGTGCTTGTACATCTTCAGACAGCATCGGGTCCCTTTCAGACATACAACTGAAAAGTGTCAACGATCTCCTCCTTCTATTGCCATGTTGTTGTTGTTGTTGTTCGGTTATTTGCAGGTCTAATACCCCTCCTCCTTTAACGTTTGGGTTCGTTGAGATTTTTCGATTGCTTGCGGCAGAATCGCTTAGAGCTCTAGGAGGGGTGCAGTACAAAGCTTGGTCAACTTCCCAAGGTGTTATCATTATTTTCTGGGCCAGATCGCGTATCCGACCAAATTGGCCTTTCAGAAGATGCCGACGGATTGTTTGCGTTCGTTTGTTGTTAGGCCAGTTCTCTTCTACACAGAGTTGGACTGCTGCGAGTAAAGCTGCTTCTTCCTTAGGGCAGGGTAAGGAGCCGGAAATTATTTGGTCTTGAAGCTGAAAAAATAATAAAGATTAGTATAGAGATAAATGTTATAAGGACATAAAACACTAGGAAGCGAATGGAGTTCTCATACCCAAAAACTGTACTTGTAATGTATCTGTTTAGACTATAATGTAAACTCTAGTGATCCCTATCAGGGAAGAAAAGGTTATCTGAAACCAGATATCCGTTCCTTTCTCATGTCAAAATCCGAGAACCGATCCTACATTTTTCTCAACCAGTCACATGCCCTCTCTCTACTCTGATTTAGTTAGGCTTCTAAAATCTTGTTCATCCCAATCTTGTGAGATATTTAGGGTATAATATGTCTAGCTCCCTAGCTACCCCTCTCCCTTGGCAAAAAAAAACCCCAAAAAACCTACATCCAAATAATCATCATTAATCCTCTCCTCGCTCTCCAACTTGCTCTCCTCTTCAGTTTCTAATTGACTATTAATCACGTTTAAAATATCAGCACACCAGCTTTTAACTCCTGGGTGTTGAGGAGTATTCAAAACCTTCAAAAATTATTTTTAAAAATTTTTCCTAAGGGGGGTTACTTGACGAAGCATGTCAGAACATGATCGCAGTGTGCAAACAAAATTTTGATCTTTATTGCTAAAAATGAGGGGATTTTCTTCCTATTTTCATATAGATCTTCACCTATACATAGACATTAAATCCAACAATAATTGCCTTACACAGTGGAAATCAGGGCTCATTTCGATTCCACAAAGTAGTTGTAAGGGGCTCTCTCTGTCAGGCACTCTCAAACTGCTATCTCCACTTGAACGGGAAATGGCTCTTTTCGGTAAAGGAATGCGTGTTCCAATGGTTGATGCTCTCTTTCGAAGGACAAAGCTGAATATGAATGGGCCTGAGTTGTCCGAAGCAATTGAAGTGCCTCCTGAGAAGGTGGAGAGTCGAAGGCCGCCAGATGAGGACCGTTGGGAGAGGCGAGAGCTTGCGCGGGAACTCCATCCACACATTGAACTTTCTGATTTTTAAAAGAGAGTATATTAGAGTACTGTGTGAGAAGGAATGAAAGATTGAATAACCGAAAACGAAATTTTGAGTACCCAAAAAATACGAAATTTCTAAAGACGAAATTTCGTTTTAACTCAAAATTTCGCTTTCCAGATAATATTTCCTATCCAAAAACTTAAATCATCTCCCACCATCTGAAGACTTTCTGGAACAAATTTGAACTTGACTTGGTCCACCACTCAACAACAAAGGCGCGCAATCATCAGACACACTCCCCGTCGCACTTCCACCTTGACTATTTGACATAACCTCTGGTGAATTGACAAAATAGCCAAATTCGAATTGAGATAAAGCTGAAGGTCGACGGATCTCGATAAGTGGTAATCCCGGCAGAACAGGAGGGCTGGAAGGACGCCGTAAGTCAACCACGTTTCCACTGGCTACAGCAACTGAAGATGAAGCGCTGTTGTTCTCGCTAGTGAGTGCTGCTGCTGCGACTATGGCTGTGCTGATTAGGGGTGAACGGGGAGGAGATGCACTGTTTACCTGAATGAATTAATTGGTTTTATTAGGGCAATTAATTGGTCATTGTTACCTCCAACTCAGGTAAATGCCCATAGCCAATATGTCGCTGTATTCGTTCCCCAGCACTCCCAGCAGTCCCCGCACTATCCTGTTGTCCTGCTTGTTTATAAGCCATTCTAAGCGTATCTCTCCTTGTAGGTGGAATATTCTGCAATTTTTTGGTAAACTCCAAAACTGCCTCAGATCCACTCAATGGACTGTCAGGGCTAGATTCTCGACTAGCACGGCTATGATGCCTCTTACACGGATCTGTGCCCATTCGCCCTCGAAAAAGATTTGTCAGATATTTGGGTAAATGTTTCTGAACGCTGGATGTTGAGGAGGAATTTGTTTTCTTTGACTTCCCGCTCCCGCTGCTTGTATCGGTTCCAAGTCTTTTACGATTGCGTTCCTTTCTCAACTCCTTGGCGCCACTGCTGAAGCGTTTGGGACGAGGAATCTCGACAGAACTTAAATAAATTGAAGGGTATACTAATTGGTTAATGAAGCAACCTTGATCTGCGTATATGGACACGCTTTGACAACCTCGAAGAGCCTCCGGCATAGTCCACCCGTAAAAAACGTTTGCTGTCTTTTATGCTATTCTTACTGTTTTGTTCTTCACATCCCCTTTTAAATGAACTCCCCAATGAACAGCTTGAATGTGCTCTTCGGGAATCGGCAACAGAAGTAATGATAGGTGTTGCTGTAGGAGTTGCATTCGCACTGCCATGTCCATATATTGTTGGGCGTTTTTTAGCAACAAGCGAAAGATCCCTTTAATTTACAGAATAAATTGTTTTAAAACAAAGAAACATTACTTAAACATGTTTGTGTTTGTGTAAAAATTTAATGTAAACATTGTTTATATAAACAAAAACATGTTTTTGTTTATATAAACAATTTTTAAACAAAAAAGTTTTTGTTTTGATTAATTCACAAAAACAAGTTTATTTGTTATAAACATGTTTGGCTTTCTAAACAAGTTTTAAGAAAACAAGTTTGTGTTTTGTATACATGTTTGTGTCAAACAAGTTTGTTTTTATAGCTATGTAGATTTAAATGTTTGTTTTATAGAAACTTGTTTTCTCAACAAATAATCATTTAATTATTTTTCACACAAACATGTTTTAATGTCAAACAAACATGTTTTAATAGGTGTTTTTATCATTTATTGTTTTTATATGTTTTACCATGAAAGTTTGTGTAACAAAAGTCGCAACAACAACATTGGATCAAGTACTAGTGAAAATTTGCAGAGGTGTGTTTCCAAGTTGTTTATACAGACTAATGTGTTGTACACTCTTGCTACTGTTGCGCTAACAGAAGCAGGGGGAGAAGAAGGGGCGCGCTTCACCTTTAATTATTTTGAATGATTTTAAAATTTTATAGTCGTACAGCTTGTGATTGTAATATTTGTTTTTCAGGAACAGCAACACTAGTTGGTCTAGGTTGGCTAGTTACTGTAGGAGTAGGTTTGTGTTGCTGTTGTGGTTGTGTTATTTGTTGATGTATTAGTTGCTGTTGTCCAGGTACTGTTAATTGTTGTTGTTGTTGAATTATACCTATTTATAGATGTTTCTTAGAATTATATGTTTTAACTAATTTTATTATAACTTCCGGAAAATAGGAGATTTAATTAGATGTTTACCGGAAAAACATAAATTTAAATAAATGTTTTCCTGAAAAACAAAATTATTTAGATGTTCTCCGGAAAAACAAATTAAACAGATTTTTTCCGGAAAAACATAGATTTAAATGTTTTCCGGAAAAAGTACATTTAATTAGATGTTTGCCGGAAAATATTAATTTAATTAGATGTTTCCAGAAAAACAAGATTATTTAGATGATTTCTGGTAAACATTAATTTAATTAGATGTTTTCCGGAAAAACAAAATTAATCAGATGTTTGCCGGAATAACATAAATTTAAATACTTGTTTTCCGGAAAATCAAAATTAGTCAGATGTTTGCCGGAAAGATATTGTTTAAATAATTACAACACAAGAAGGAATGTTTTTCCGGAAATATATTTATAGATGTCTTTTGCCTTGAAGCTGAATGTTATTAATCTGTCTAGGTGTTGATCCACTTGATGATGTTGAGGGTGTTGTTGCCCTTGTAAGTGTTGATGAACATGTTGTTGTAGAGGATGGAGATACGGGTGGCCCCAAAACTGGAGTTGATTGCCTATTTGTTAATAAATTGTGAGGAGAAGTTGAAGGAGTGTCTGGACTAGTAGAAGCAGATTTTGAAGACGTAGCTGAAAAATCGGCGTTAATATATAAAGATGATTAAAGAGATTTTAACCATACAGGACGTTATAATCCCCCCATTAAATATTTCCGCTCCGCAGTCACTGGACGTTCCTGGCTGGAAGGGTTCCCCAAAATCCATGCGTAACCCCATCTATCGACTATACAAGGGGTGGTATTATATTACGAGTTAAGATTAAGATAATTTGTTACATGAAATAAACGGGTTAGATGTAGCAGTATTCCGAGCCGTACATAAATTTGCCTCAACAGAAGTTGGAGGTGTACTAGTAGGTGTATCGTCAATAAATGCTGGTGATGGCATTATTAATGGTGGAAGTGGAGAGTCCTTTATGAATAATTTTTTAAATCAGATCAAAAATGATACATACAGGCTTCTCTTCACACTCCTCAATGATACAATTTGCACTATTTTGACCAACAACAATAGATCGGACTTGGACTGTAGGTGAAGCGATCACGCTAGCACAAGCACTTGGTCTATAAATATGTATAGGTATTTGTAGAAACTGGAACAGGAAAAAGAATTCCAACTGGAGGAGGCCCCAAATCAATCCCTGATAAAGGAATCCCATCAATGATACCGGAATTTTGGGACTACTACTGCCACCCTTCTACTGTCATTCTAGAAAATTTCGTGGTGAATCCCTTTCATGATAGACACTTAACCCCACTATTATATATTTTCTTATATAAATATTTTTCTGAGAATTTTTTGCTTACGTTTCCTCGCTTATAGGCTCCTGTGCTCCGCTTCCAGTTCCATTTGACGCCTGGTTTCGGCTTAGTTCCTGCATTATTTTTAAAAGAATGCCTTCTACTGACATTGCTGTTCGGCTTTAAAAAAAATAAATTCATTCTCTTAATTAACGCCCTCAGTCACCTAAATTCTTGTGCCATTGTAGCAGGTCGAAGAGTTTCACAAATATAGTCGTCCTCATTTGCCGAAGTGGAATTGTTTGCTGCTTGACCCTGACTGCTAGTTAAGGATCTACGAGTGACTGAGGTTGCCAAAAGGGAGTCATCGAACAGAGAAACTCTGAGGGATTGGAAAAACTTTTGATTAATACTTAAATGAAATTAACTACCGATTTCCAACTCTCTCCCCTAGACCAATATAAATTAATATTCGAGCGGCATGGTGTTTAACAAAATGGCCAAATTTAGTGCTATGATTTGTATAATACCTGAAAAAATATTTTAATAAATTATTATTCTTGAGACTTTATGGCCATGAACCATTGTTAAAGCTACGTTCAATAACCACGGGTCATTAACAGTGATGTCAAAGTTCCAAAATTTCTCTGGAACTAGTTCCAGTTCCAGAACTAGGTTTTTAATTTTTGTAGTTCCAGTTCCAGTTCCGGAACTCCATTTTTGTAATTCCTTAGTTCCATTTCTGGAACTAGTTCCAAGCTAGTTCCAGATAATCGTTAGTTCCGTAGTTCTAGTTCTGGAACTGGAACTTTGACATAACTGGTCATTAATGGACATTCATATCTTAACGGAATATCTTAATGGATATTTAACAAATTCTGACCAATCATCGGCTGGAAGAAGCATCTGAATAAGCGGATTATCCACCTGCATTTCAATAAAATGGCGGTGTGTTGATGGATTCAAAGCTATAAGAGCGATAGTTTGAAGCAAAAGACAGAGCAGTTGCTTTAAAAATTTTTTGGAATTAAAAAAAATTTTTTAAAACTGGATCCAGAGTAGGCTCTAGTAGTTGAATAAGTGTTCTTAACTGGGAACGCTCACTAATTTTTTGTCGAAATTCTTTAAAGCTGGCGAGGAAGAGTAAAATCTTGAAATATATAAATTAATAATTTTAAAATATTTCAGCTCGGTAAATGTAAAAAATTTGCGCAAACATACTCTAGCAACCAGGATTTGTGTGCAATGCTATAAATAAGTATACTATAAAGTTATCAATGAAACATGTTTATTTATATGATATCAACAGTTTTAGTCTAATCAACATGTTTGTTTCAATGTTTTTTAATGTTTGTTTTAAATGTTTATTTCAATGTTTTTAAGATTTATTACAAAGAAATGTTTGTTTCAAGAATTTGTCAATAAAAAAGCATGTTTTGTTCAATCAAACAATATTTTCACAAACAAGTTTTATTATTTCACGAACAAGTTTAATTATTTCCCGAACATATTTTATTACTTCCCGAACAAGTTTCATTATTTTCGAACAAGTTTTATTTGCCCAAAAACATGTTTATTTTTAAAGTTGTTTGTTTTTAACAAAGTTTATTTGTTTGTATTTCATTAAAACAAAGTTTTACTTATACAAACATGTTGCTTAAACAAATATTAAAAAACATGTTTTAAACAAACTTACGTTGTAACACTGTCTCCATCTATGCGCAGGCGAGCATACCGAGCGATTACCAGCCTCTCGATTATGCATAGTAATTGAGTTATGTAGATAAGCAATAATCTAGTTTATTTAATATTTATTTGACAAGATTTTTTTGACTTACAATACTAGGTTGCATACTAGAAAATGCTTTTTGCAGATCGCTTAGCCGAACCTTTCAAATAATACAAAAATTAAATAATTTAATTCTAAGTTTTTCTACTTTATTATGTTGCGATCCCACATTAACTCCATGTTTCCGATAAAAACTTTGAAGGATCAAGGCGGGCGCTGAACTACTATCGCCTGTTTCACGTCTATCAGATTTTTCATTTTCTGATGTTTTGTTTGGTGTCTAAAATAATTTTTATAAAGTTTATTTTTAAGTAAAACAAGTTTGTTTTAAACCAAGTTTATTTAAATCAAGTTTATTTAAAACAAGTTTATTTAAAACAAGTTTATTTAAAAATTTTAATGTTGTGTTCATATCTTTTTGTTTGTTATATTAAAACTTTTTTTGTTAAATAAACTTGTTTTTGGGAATGTTTTGATATCGTTTCTTATAAGAAATAAACTTGTTTTTTTTGTAAAAAGTTTAAACGAACATTTTTATATTTACACAAAACTGAAACATGTTCTTCCTTTGTTTTAATTATTTTTCGAAAACATGTTTGTGTTTTAAATTGTTTCTTAGTGTTTTTATGTTTCACAACATGTTTTCCTCTAAAAACTTGCCTGTAACGGGTCCTCCACAAAAGAAAGACCAGCCTCAAAATCATCTTGAGATTGAAATTCGTGTGACCGATTTAATAACCGGGAGGAGTGGAATACTATTTGTGGCCAGCCAAATACAGAATTTACTAAACCGGCATCTATTACCTTGAAAAATTCAATTTTTAGTGATTTCTACCCTAAAAACCAAACTTTATTTAACGTGCTCAACGCCGCAAATTGTCTACAACTTCCACTTTTTTGTAGACACAAATAACAGAAATTGACTACAGAAACAAGGACACCGACCAGTCTCTGACGGTTCCATTTTTGTTGAACTGGAGCGCTCATTTGGAAGTCTGTCCCGCTCCGACTACGTTGCCGGGCTTTTAAAAAAATTTTAAATTATTTAAAATTTATTTACTCAAAGAGAAGGAAACAATAGAAGTTAGTAATATTTGATGAAGCAATCCACCCAAATGAGAATCCATAATGTCCCTTTCGGCCCCATAAAAAGGATTTGCATGGTCATCCAATTGCTGTGCACAATATTTGTGAAGGGAACGCTATAATAGAATTATAAATTAAACTTGTTGTAAATATGTAAACTTGTTTGTTAAAACAAATAAGCATGTTTTTCAATACATGTTTTGTTACGTTGTTTCAAACATAATTTGTTTAAAAACAATTATTAAAGAAATAAATAAGCATGTTTTGAAAAGAAAGTTTTAAGTAAACTTGTTTTAGAAAAACATGTTTTAATAAACATGTTTTAATAAAATAAACTTGTTCTAATCAAACTTGTTTAGGCTTCTTATTTAAAACATGTTATATTAAAACAAACTTGTTTTTAATTAAAGTTGCTAATATTCCTCTAAACAAGTTTTAATAAACTTGTTATAGGCTTTTTAAAACATGTTATATTATAACAAACTTTATTTTAAACAAACTTGTTTTAATTAAACTTCCTAATATTCTCCTAAAACATGTTTTAAAACAAATTATTTATTACCATAATACTTTCAATACATTCAGGATTAGAACTCATTTTCTGAAGGGTTTCCCAAGCCTGTTCCCTGCTAACATTTTCAAATATTGCTGCTATGATATCAAAATTTTATTTAAATTTTCTAAATTTCATACAGTCTTTATTTAATTTCGTTCTTCTGTGTAATTGGAGCGAAACAAACGACTTTCGCCTGGAAGAGTCAACTAGTGTTGCTGGTACACCCATACTTATACGATCTTTGTTAACACTTAAACTTTCCAACATTGATGAGTTTGAGACTGATAGAGCAGCCGATGTTCGTGGGGAAAGAGGAGATTTACTGTAAAAAAAACATGTTGTTTAGGAAAAATAAAACATGTTTAAATAAACATGTTGTAAATAAACTTGTTTTAAAAACAAGTTTTAGTGAACTTTGTTTTTATGAAACTTGTTTACATGCGTGAAAGGATGTCTAAAACATTGTTTTAAAAACATGTTTTGAGACATGTTTTTAGACTTGTTATTTAAATAAACTTTGTTTTTATAAAACTTGTTTAATAATAAACTTGTTTATGTTTTTAATACATGTTTTGGTAAACATTGTTTTAAAAACATGTTTTGAGATACGTTAAAACTTTGTTTTTAAAACATCTTTAAATAAAATGTTTTAATAAACAATTGTTTTCTAAACATACTTGCTAAGACTTCCTCTCTCACAAAAACTTGCTGGCAACAGAAGCGATTCTAAAATTAACATGTTTTGTTTTAATAAATCTAAACACTTGCCAGCATCCACATTTGATTTACGCAAATGTTTAGTAGCAGAAATCATCGCCGCCGTTTTCATTAGTCGTTCTTGAGTGCTTACAGTTCCACTACCGGCCATGTTTATGTTGGTCTGTCCACCTCCTACTCCTCCAGCCACTCCACCTCCATTCTCTTCCTTTTCTCCATTCCCCGTCCCTCCTCCACTCAAGTGAACTTGACTACCACTAACGTGATTACCCCCAGAATTTGAATTTGTTGGACGGACACAGGCCATTTGGAAAAGACTTTCAACACACGTTTCTTGTATTTTTCTTAGTTCGGGTGCCAAATCCAAAGGGCAAATTCCACGACTATTCTTTTGTTGAATTCTAGCTCCGAAAAGGATGAGTATATGAAGACAATGCCAACTCAAAGGAGAGTCACGGACGGCCAACATTAAAGGGGAATTTCCGTCCTCATCAACAGCGTTCACATCAGCGCCGTAGGAAACAAGCAAATTAATCTGAAAGAGAAACATGTTTGTTTGGCAAAAAAAACATTTAACATGTTTAAACACTTATAAACATGTTTTAATTAGACTTGTTTTGAATAAGCATGTTCGGATTATTAGAAAACATATTACATTTAAATAAACATGTTTTAATTAAACTTGTTTTAAATCAACTTTTTAAAATAAACTTGTTCGGAACATATTTGTTCAAACAAACTTGTTTTTAATTAAAATGTTTTAAAGAAACTTGTTTAAATGAACATGTTTTAAGAAAACTTGTTTATACTAATGAACTTCATTTGCTTAAATAAACATAAAAATATTTACCATTTCTGGACTCTGTGCCCTCACCGCAATAGCTAACGGTGTTTGGTCAAGAATTGAAACAACACGTAGTTGGGTACAAACCGCACACATTTCAGGTGTTGCAGAATGATTTTTAGAAGGAAGAACGGAAGCCAGTGGGATGTTTCCCGATGTTGTACAGGCTCCTTTACAGTGGCATAGAGCTATTGTGTTTGGGTCATAGCCGCTTTTGAGGAGTAGTTCGACGATATCTCGTTGTTTGTGGGCTACTGCCATGTGTCTAAACAATGTTTTTTGATTAAAAAAATTTTCTATTAAACGGACAATGTACTCATAGTAGCACAATTTGAACGTCCACCAGAATGTGTTGATAAAGTACTCGATGCATTAGAACGCCTATGTTGCATTGTAGCAGCTCCACTAGATAGACCTTTTATTGAAAATGTACAAAGAAAACTTACCCATGCCTACGTTGAGCTAGGTCAGTAAACGTGTTTGTGCTTGTAATTGAGGGTGATGATGAAAGTGTAGCTTGATGCTTTATAAAACAATTTAAATAAACTTGTTTTAAAAGCTTGTTTTAATTAAACTTTTCTGAAATGAACTTTACGAACAAAACAAGTTTAATTTTTAAATTAAGCATGTTTGGAAAAATTGAAATAAATAAACATATTTTGTAAAAAAAATGTAAATAAACATGTTTTGAGTTTGTTTAAATGTTTGAGAAATTGTTGAAAATTTTTAAGAATGTTGGAAAATATGTTGGGAATTAGACATGTTTGTGATTAGTTAGTTTTAAATAAAACTTGTTTAGAAAGCGTATGTTTTAATTAAACTTGTTTTAAAATAAACTTGTTTTGGATAAACTTGTTTCTAGTAAACATGTTTGTATTTAAACTTGTTCTGATAAACATTTAAATAAGCATGTTTTTGAATAAATAGAAACATTTAATTATTTGTTTCTACCTTATTTCCACAATGTGAAAGCAGAAGCCTATCTACCAAGCTAGCATCATCCATATGTATCGCCTTAAAAATTTAATTTTTTCAGTTATAAAATTTTCTAAGAATTTTAAAAATAAATAAAATATACATCTAATAACATTTCAGACAAATTTTGATTCATTGAGGGTTTTCTATCTGGGTCTGTTCTCAATACACGTTGTGCTGCAGTAAAGGTGAAGCATCGGCCTGATTCTGTTGGGGTACCCTTCACAGATATTTTTTTAAATTTTTTTTTAATTTTATTTTTATTTTGTACCACTAAGGATGACCCTTCACTACTTTCACCAGTATATCTTCTTCCCGACTGTCCCGATTGTTGTCGTTGTAAGCGTTGCCTGAGGCGCTTAGCTGTGCAGATGGAGGATTCATGATTTGATGTAAGCTCTGTTGAGTAGCTAAATGAGGGGAAATATTTTCTAAATTAAAATTTGGACAGAAAATACCCAAAAGGATAACGATCAGCTGTTTCAGTAGAGGATTCTCGAGTAGCACTCATTCTCAATATTTTTGAATAATTTTTTTAACTGTTAATATTAATTTATTTTATTTTTTAGGTATTTTTTAAAAATGTGTAGGATGATAAGGGACATATTAATCTTCCCTTTTAAGGTTGTCGGTTTTCAGAAAATATTCGAATATCCGAAACTGAACCGAAAAATCCTCGGTCCTTCGGTGAGGTTCCGGACATATAACCCTAGTTCTAGTCACTTTTAGATACACGTTGAGGTCGAAAACTCGGAGGTGGAGGTTTTGGAATAAGATTTCGTTGTCATCGTAAGGGTTTCATTCAAAAAAGATGTTATTCTGTGTCGTGGTTTAACCCTTAATCTTTTCCTTTTTAAGCGTTCTCGGTCCTTTGGTGAGATTTCTGGACAGACGATCCTAGTCCTAGACATCTGTTAGCTTATTTATATATAAACAGCGATTTCTCTGGTATTATGTTTTTCTCCAGGGTTGGACCCCGACTCGTCGGGATCGACACGTTCGGAGTGAGGTTTCGGGATAAGATTTTCTTGTCATCGTAAGGGTTTAGCCAAAAGAAAAGGTGTGTATTATGGGTCCTGGTTTAACCCTTAATCTTTTCCTTTCTCAATCCGAAACAGAACCGAAAAATCTTAGGTTCTTCGGGGCGGTTTCCAACATACAACCCTAGTTCTACTTCGGGGTCGATAATTTCGGAGGCGGAATTTTGGGCTGAGATTTCGTTGTGTATTCTAAGTCGTGGTTTAACCCTTAATCTTTTCCTTTCTGGCGTTCGTTAACAAAAGATTTCGGCAACATTTTTGGCAAAATATTAAAAATTTATTTATTGTTTTTAAAGGTGTGAAGACTTTTTTAAAATAATAGAGAAAAAGTTTTTAATAATAAAATATTTACATTTACTTTTAAAAAATTGTTGTTTTGTCTACTTTAAGTGTGGTGATGCTCTATGGGGATTAAATATATTTATATTTTTTTCAAATTATTATTGCCTGGGATACGGGTGTTTTTTTTTTGCTTTTAAGAGCGTGAACACGATTATATTAATTTTTTGGATTTTTTTGTTGGATTGGGAAAAGGAGGATTGGATAATTAAAATAGAGAGAAGAAGCATAGCAAGGGTTTCCGTTAAAATAAATATTTGGTAAAAATAAATATAGAAATGTTTAGGTTGTTTACTAGGGATTAAGGTTGGTGGATAGTTGGAAATCCTCGGATATCCGTATCCGGTATCCAAACCGAAAATTTCCGGATGTACGTTACCCTCCGACCTTTTTAGGATCAGGATATCCGGATCCGCCAACCTTACTAGGAATGGGCAGGGTGGAAAAAGGAAGTCGGGTCTGGTTTCGTATCAAATTTCCTTCGGATCGGGTTCCTGATCGAAAAGTATCAGGCTTTCGAGTATCCTGTTTCGGGTAAAACTGAAGCACAAAGTTAAATACAGCCAGAAACAATTGATAGCCGCAGGTCTTTCGGGGATATCAATATCGCATTCGGAAAGGCCATGCCGACTATCCTACCAATCCCTATTGTAGAATTGAATTTAAAGATCGGTCTAGATTCAGTTCGAAAATTTCGATCATCGAAGTTGGAATTTTTATACTGTTAGATATCGAAATCTCCCCTTGTACGTCACCTCCTGCACAAAAAATCTGACGTAAAGTGAATATCCGTCTATTTTAAGTACATTTAAATAATTAATGAAGGGATTAACTGCGCGCATTTATATTTTATTTTAATTTGGGTAAGCAACGATATTACTATAATTAATTTATGTTAAGCAGGAAATGGCATAATCTCCCTTTCTTTAAAATAAAAATTTTATTCTTTAATACATTTTTTTACAAAATTAATTATAAAAATAAAAAATAAAAAAAATTAAATTCTTTTAAAGTCCAAAATCAACAGGCAATTCTGCTGCCGGATGCCACATATAGCGCAAAAACAAAATTAAAAATAGTAAATTAGCTCCAGAAAATATAAAAAGGAAGAGGTAGTCAAATCTGGCAAATACTCGATTCCACTCTCTTTGGATCTGAAAAAATATTTTTTAATTAAAAATAAGGATGGTCCCCGACCCCCAACAAAATTCTATCCTTGTTCCACGAAAAAGTTTTCTATAACGTGTCGAGGGCCAACTCAAATTAAGTATGGAATGGGCATGATTCTGAGATGTACAAGTTAAGGAGGCTTAATAAAGTAAGAGCGAGGTAAAAGTTTAATCTCGGGCAAGTTTCCTATTGCTGTGACCTCTGTTGTGTCCGCACTTGCAGAAAGAACATAAATGAAAAATATTAACCCAACATCGGGTTGGATGGTGGCACAGTCGGTTGTGCTTCGGTCTGGGCTCATTCCATGATGGTTCAATTCCATCTCCCATCCAAACAATTCTTCCACAGCATGAACATCGTATACAATAACCTCCTTGCAGTTATTGCTAAGCTTTACCGAGACGCTGCATTCACTTTCTCTTTTAATAGATCTTAATCCCTGCCTAGTGAGCGTTTCAAATGCTAGTTAGCTGGATCTTTCTCTTCTTTACAATAAACATAATTGGCCTGTACCATTAGCCTAGTTATATTTTCTCTGGAATCGGGAATCGAGTTACCTATATCCCTGCACCATAACTAACCATTTGTCTCTCCTTATGCATTTCAATTTTTTCTCTAAACTTTTTTTGGGCATCTACAATAATTTGTAGTTGTGACTGTATCGTTTGAAATTCGTAGGAAATTTTTGGTTTTAAAATAAAATTGTTTGGCTGCCCATTTTTGTTGTTATTATTTGTGTAATAATCCAATTCACAATTGTTATTTAGAGGTTCTCGACTGTCTTTATAGTTTTTGTAGGCGGAAGAAAATGCAGAAGTGTGGTAGTGTTTTTCTTGGTAAGGATTGAGTAATAAATTTCTGAAAAAATAATTATAATAATTCTGATTTTTATTTCTGATTTTTAATTCTGATTTTTGTTCTGATTTTTAATTCTGATTTTTAATTCTGATTTTTAATTCTGATTTTTGATTCTGATTTTTAATTCTGATTTTTGTTCTGATTTTAATTCTGATATTTAATTCTGATATTTGTTCTGATTCCTAATTCTGATTTTTATTCTGATTATTTTCTGATCTTTAATTCTGATATTTAATCCTGATTTTTGTTCTGATTTTTATTCTGACTTTTTATTGACTTTTTTATTCTGGTTTATCATTCTGATTCTAATTCTGATTTAGATTTTGATTTTTATTCTGATTTATATTCTGATTTTACAATATAAAATTCTGATTTTTTATAACCAGAAACTTAATTGTAATAAAATCGCCTTCACCTATAAAGCTTTTCTGACGGCAATTCCCCACTTTGAATAAAATGCCTCGACATAGCCAACAGTAACATGCTAACTCCAACACCTACCGCACACAAAACAATTGTAAAAATAATATAATGGCCAAGTAGAGGTATCGAGTTTGATCTAGGCATCGCTGCTGAAACTATGTCCAGAAGTACAGACATCGCTAGAAGTGAGCCAAGTCCGAGAGATACCTAGAGGGAAATTGTTTGACTTTAAAGTTATCACCCCTCAAGTTTTTATCAATCTAGCTACCTTTTCTCCACGAGGTCCATCATTCGTACCAGGCGTGAATATCCCCAAAATGCTTAATGCAGAAATCAGGAAGGTCGGTGCAACTATCACGGTAATGTAATAAACAGGTCTACGACGTAAATGAATTATGTAATGGACCTATAATATGCATAATATTTTTGTATATTTAAGGGTTGATCCCGGCCCATCTTAAAGAACATTTTTGGGAAAAGGTAACAAGTCAGGGAACTGGAATGGGGGCTGCGGTGACCAACCCTTTAGCATAGAACTTTTCAGACGAGAGATTACAGGAAAGGGGTCCTGGGTTCGGCCTGGGATCTGATATGCCTGTGATTGTGATCGTTCTACATATGAGCTAACGATCCTCTTCGGACAAGGTTGGGTTGGGATCAACCCTTTTCAGGAGAGAAAGACCGGAATATCCCCAATCCTCTTAACATACTTCAACACGTTCCTCACCATCCTCCATAAATTTTGTAGCTCTCACAGTAACATTTAATAATTCCCATTCGGCATTACCCTGTTAATTAAAAAAATTTTTAATTTTTTCACCAAAAAAAATTTTTTTACAGAAAAATAGGAGTCTTTTGGAGGCTTTGTTGTATTAACATCCATTTCTTGTATGCTAAGCAATGGTGACGCTTGCGCGATAGCACAGAATTGGGTGTCAAATGGGAATAACTTTAAATTAAATTAAATAAATATTGTAATTTTTAATTAAAACTTACAGAAATATTAAGTCTGCAAATACAAGAAACCTGAAAAAATTTACAATTGTAATTTATAAATATAATTTTTAAAAATCAGAATTTGTAAAAAAATATTCTGATTTATTATTATTTTATTTCTGATTATTTTACAAAGGTAATTATTATCAGAATAAATATCAGAACAAATAAATATTTAAGAAAATAATTCTAAAAATTTAATTCTGATTTTTATACAATCCCCATTTTACAATTACTATTTAATTCTGATTATTTTACGTAAAATAATTCAGAATTATCAAGTTTATTACAAATCAGAATTTGTAAGAAAATTACAAAACAGAATTGACACAATAGAAAATACATTATTTATTCTGATTTTTAGAAATTACAAATTCTGATTTTTAGAAATTACAAATTCTGATTTTTAAAAATTACATATTCTGATATTTTAAAATTACAAATTCTGATTTTTAAAAATTACAAATTCTGATATTTAAAAATTACAAATTCTGATATTTTAAAATTACAAATTCTGATTTTTAAAAATTACAAATTCTGATATTTAAAAATTACAAATTCTGATATTTTAAAATTACAAATTCTGATTTTTAAAAATTACAAATTCTGATATTTAAAAATTACAAATTCTGATATTTTAAAATTACAAATTCTGATTTTTAGAAATTACAAATTCTGATTTTTAGAAATTACAAATTCTGATTTTTAAAAATTACATATTCTGATTTTTAAAAATTACAAATGGTAATTTTTTATTTTACAATTAAATATTCTGACTAACATAATGCGGAATATTAGCCTTTATATGCCCATCACTACTAATTCTGATATCAAAACGATTTTCTGTGAGCATTTCCTTGTTGTCCATAGAATTGTAAATAAACATTTTGGGTAGCCATACAGTTGAATGGGGTACTACAATTTGTTTTAGGCCAGAAAATAATTTTGGATCCCAAATAAGACGAGGATCCTTCCATTTCTATTGAAAAAAATTTATATTAAGCTTTTACAATAAGTTTATCCAATTTTGTGAATTGTAAAATTTAAGCTTGTGCCCGAGACCGATCCCCGTTCCCTGCCAACTTTAATTTTTAATATTGATAGGGGGTACCAAGTCGTGAACTTGGTGTTAATGGGTCATCGTGGGAGATACGAGTCTAATTCAGGGATCAACCCTACAAGAAAAACCATTTTCTACTGGGAGACTTGAATCGGGGTCATGGGATCAGAATCCAGTGATCGGCCAAGCCTAGGGGGTGCCACACAGTAGAGTATTAAATTCTGATTTACAGTGTAATTTTTTGACTCCTAACTTCCTCCCCCTGACCCTATTCCGAAAAAGTTATCTCGACGGGAATGGGCCAAACCTAGTTAGGTTGAATCATAAAAATCATCACCTGAATATGTGAAATTACAAATGAGGCTACTTGTTGATTCTCTCTCTAAAAATGCTTTAACTCATTACAAATCAGAATTTACCTACCAATTCTGTAAGTATTGCCAACACAATAGTCATTTCAATAATTACAGGGCGTTGTTGATCCGAGAAGGGGCGAATTCTTTTATCATAACCTCCAAAAAGGAAGTCGAGCAAATCAGTGCTTGATTGATCAGTTGAAGTCATTGCATTACCAATACTATTAGCATTGTCCAGAAGAGGGTGCATTTTTTAATTAATTAATTTTAACTAAATTCTGGGCATCAGAATATATTAAAAATCAGATTTGTTCTCCATAAATGTTAGTTTTTGCCCCTAACTATTTTGTAAATTCAATTAATATTTTTATCATTAGACCTAACTTATAGCAAATTTAATTCTCTATTAAATGAGCTATAGACTGAAGGAATTGGTTCAGGCAACCCATAGTTATAAGCCTTGGAAGCAGCTTAGTTCAGCTTTACATAAATAAAAAGTTTTGTGTTTTTGCCAATAAAATTAAGCCAATTCAATTGATACTTTTATCATTAGCTCTATCTCATAGTAAATTTAATTAGCTGTTAAATGAGCTATAGATTGAATCAATCGGTTCAGGCAATGGAAAGTTATAAGCCTTGGAAGCAGCTTATCTCAGCTTTACTTAAATAAAAAGCTTATAGTTTTTTGTCAATGAATATTAAGCCAATTTAATTAATATTTTTACCATTAGATCTATCTAATAGCAAATTTAATTCTCTATTAAATAAGCTATAGATTAGAAAAATCGGTTAAGGCATTCAAAAGTTATAAGCCTTGGAAGCAGCTTAGTTCAGCTTCACAAAGATAAAAAGTTTTATGTTTTTGCCAATAGACATTAAGCCAATTCAATTAATATACTAATAATAATATTGTATCTTATAGCAAATTTAATTCACTATCAAATAAGCTTTAGTTTGAAAGAATCGGTTCAGGCATTCCAGAGTTATAAGCCTTGGAAGCAGCTTAGTTTAGCTTTACATAAGTAAAAAGTTTTGAGTTTTTTTTGTCGATAGACATTTGCCAATTCAATTAATATTTTTATCATTAGATCATTCTTATAGCAAATTTAAATAGCTATTAAATGAGCTATAGATTGAAAAAATTCGTTCAGGCAATGGAGAGTTATAAGCATTGGAAGCGGCCTGGTTCAGCTTCACAAAGCTTCAAAATGAGGATTTTAAATATAAAAATAAAATATTTAAAAATTCAAAAGCTCAAAAATTCTTTTGTTCCTTTAAAGATTTTTTATTTGAATAATGAATGGACATAAAAACTTTTTTTTAACCCTTAAAATTCTCCCAAAAAAATTTTTTTCTTTAAATTAAATAAGCTCTCAAAAAATGCAAATCAGTCATCCTTTTAAATTTAATAAATTATTTATTCTAAAGAAGCGACTAAAATTATTTTTTTTCTTTTTTAAGCATTCTTTGCCAAGCTTTTTTTTATGCCAAAAAAGTTTGTAAAAGGAAATTATGTTTTTTAAGGATTTTGTGTGGCGTGGAAAGGGAGTGTGTTAAATATAATATATGTATCTCATTAAAAAGGGGACTAAAAAAGGGAAGATTTGGTTTAAAAATTTTTAATAAATTTTTTCACTTTCCAAGGTTCAAGTTTTGTTTTTCAAGTCAGAAAAAATCTCAAACTCGTCCTTGAGTGGAGAGTAAGATTGGCGGATCCGGATATCCGAAGGTTTCTAATTATCCACCAACCTTACTGGAGAGATCTGGTTGTCGGCTCAACCCAAACCAAAACTCTGAAGATTTTCGGTTCGGTTTTTCTATTCGTTTTGGTTAACCGAAAAATTTTGCGAAACCGACAACCCTACTGGATAAAGGACATTTTACAATTTTTTAATAAAAAAAATTGTAAAATGTATGTAGGGTTGGATAAATTTATGAATCCCTCCAATACCGGTCTCTACTCCCTCTATTGTTCTACTACTTATAGTGTTCCTCTCGAACTGAGCAATCTGACACCCAATCGACTTACAAAAGGACTTATTTGTTAGATAGAACGGACAGTAACGTAACAAACAAATTAAAAATAAGCTTCAAAATTGCTTTATAAAAAAATTTTTTTCAATTTTTCAATAAAAATAATTTTTTCCTACATATTTTATGTTGCCAAGCATTAACCTTTTAAAGGGCAAGAACATTAAGTGTCCTATTAAATAAATTGAAAAAATAATAATTATTATTTTTTTTAAATAAATCTTTTTATAAAAAAAATTCCACATGACCGGATATTTTTTTATATTTATTTTTAAATGTTATGCCATAAAAGAATATAATAAGAAAAAAAGATGTCTGGCTGTGATGTGAATTAAGTTAACGAAAAAAGACTAGGCTTTAATAAAATAAAATTATGGGGATTTTAAAAAACATTTCAAAATGTAAACTAAAATTAAATTTCAAAATGTTAAAAATTCGCATTTTTTCAAAATGTAAACAAGAGAAAAAAATTACAGAATGTCAATACTGCAAAAAATATTAAAATGTTAACTTCATAAGAAAATTTCAAAATGACAAAAATTTCGACAGAAAAATATCAAAATGTAAACTTCACTAGAAAATGTCAAATAGGCAAAAATTCTCAAGACGTTAATTCGACAAGAAAGTTTCTGTTATGGTAGTGTGGCTACTACTTATTATTAAACCTTATTATTATACTATAAAAGCCTCACATAATTGTCAGTCCGTGTTACTCCAACCTTATTCTATTTCTTCAACCTTATTGTATTTCTATTGTGTAATAAACACATTATTGTATTGCTTCTTTATTGTTGTACAAAGACAATAGTATCAAAATGTCAACCGTAAAAATTTTTCAAAATGTCAATTCAAGAGAATTTCAAAACGTCAACTAGATGAAATAATCGAAAGGACAATTATTTGTACTTTATTAATTTTTAAATTTTATTTTCGCTTAAAGTCATTCTCTACCTTAATTTTTGGAATAAGCTGAATAAATAAATAAAAAAAGTAGTTGTGTATTACTCACTTTAATAATAAATAAAAATAAAATAAAAATTCAATTTTACCCTTTATTTCAAGTTTTTCAAAACACACTAATGTTTGCTAAAATTTATTTTTTTTTATTTTTAAATAAAATTTTTTTATTAAAAAAATTAATTAATATTAAGTAAAAAAATTTTTTTCTTTACTAGGAAAAATTTTAAAATTAATTTTTCCCCAATTTTCTTAATAAATTTAAAAATAATGAATTTAAAAGTTCCATTAATTTTATTAAAATTTTATTTATTTTTGTTTTTATTATTTCCACAAATTTTCTCAAAAATGTGTTTTGAATTGAAAAATATGGGGTATTGTGATAATGCGATATACAAGGCTATGATGCAAAAACACTGTTTGTCTGAATGTGGGACTAATGCTTGCTTTGACAAGAGAGCTGATTTGTTTGTTATTTTATTTTTAATAATTAATTATCTTTACAATTTGTAATAAGTTTATTTTACAAATTGTAATTCAAGTTTAATTATTTTTACAATTATAATACCTACCCTCAAAATAAAAAATAAACTTGAATTAATATTCAAGTTTTACAATCCAAGTTTATTTTATTAATTCAAGTTTATTTAAGCAAGTTTATTTTTACATGTTTCAAAAAATAATAAACTTGCTTATTTTACAAATTGTAATTCAAGTTTAATTATATTTCAATCCTAATAATTACCCTTTAGGATAAAAAATAAAATTGAATTAATATTCAAGTTTATTTTTATATTTTACAATCCAAGTTTATTTTATTAATTCAAGTTTATTTAAGCAAGTTTATTTTTATATTTTCACAAAAGAATAAACTTGTTTATTTTACAAATTGTAATTCAAGTTTATTTTATTCCAAGTTTATTTTTTCTATTTTAGTCGTATTTTTAATTTCAATTTTATTCCGTATTAATTTTTTTTAATTTTTTTTAATTTTCTAACAGATGTCCATACTGGAAACAAGACCCAAATAATTTCTGCACAAACTCATTTTATAGCCCACAGACTGTTGAAGAATGGTGTAACGCAACCTGTAATTGTGGAAATGCACCACCCCCAGCAAATAATGCACCCCCAGCAGGAGGTGGAAAGAAAAAATAAACATAAATATTTTTTAAATTTTATTTTAATTGTTTTTATTTAAAAATTAATAAAAAATTTTACAAAAAATTATGAAATTTTTAAAAAAGTGTATCTGGTCTTGTTTTAATATGTTGTTGTAATTGTGGCAGTGAATGGACGGCTAAAAATTTAATTATATTTAATTTTTACAATTCAAGTTTATTAATTCAAGTTTAATTTACAATTTGTAATTAAGTTTATTTTTCTTTAGAAAATAAACTTGTTATTAAGTTTATTTTAAAATTCAAGTTTATTTATTAATCAAAGTTTATTTTTTACAATTTTTGCAAGTTTATTTTACAAATTGTAATTCAAGTTTATTTTTATTTTATTTTCACAATCCAAGTTTATTTTTGTATTTTTAAGGGTTAAAAAATTTTATCGAGTGTCATTAAGTCCTTCCCTTATTCTATTATTCCCCAAAAATTTTTTATACCCTTCTTTACTATTTAAAAAAAATAAGTGTTCGGCACAGTTCGGTACTACCGCGGTACTACCGATAGTACCGACTCGGTACTTTTCGGTACTACTGGTATTGGTACGGTACTGAGCGGCTTCCCAGTACCGCGGTAGTACCGATTTTTCGGTACTGGGATTTTCCCATTTTTCTTTTATATATTTTATAAAAAGAAGGATTTTTGACCATTGGGCATCTAAAATTTCAAAAATTTTTCGCCTGCGGCGCTACAAAGAAGAAATATGGCTACTTGTCCTTCCAAAATTCTCAAAAATTTCATCTCCGGCGGTAGAAAAATGAAAAACTTACTTTCAAACTTTTCCAAAATTTTCTCTACAGTGCAGAAAATGGAAAAAATCTGGCTTAAAGCCTTCCAAAATTCTCAAAATTTTTTTAGAAAAGGGATTTGAGGTTAAGAGGGATATCAAAGATTAAAAGGTGGATAAAAGTGATATTGGTGACTATGATTTTGTGGATAAGAGTCATATGAAGAAATTGGAAGGAGGAGCGGGTAAGAGGGCTATAGATATATGAATTTGGTAAAGCTATCGATGGATTGTGAGGATTGCTCTACAAATCATATCCTCCTTAATCCTGCTTTAAACCCGATATCCTTCAAATCTCCTGACTAGTTTAATTGTTTCAAGTATACTCATCTCCTAGATTTAATTCTGGGTCAAATATAGGCAATAAAAATGCTTATACGATGATATAATTGCATATTATGCCATTTTACTGTGAGTACCGAAGTACCGCGGTAGTACCGAAAATTTTTTGTCGGTACTTTTCAATACCAGTACTTTTCGGTAGTACTGGTATTGGTATTGAAAAAATTCATTTGCCGAACACTAAAAAAAATTCTTTTTTCACCTCTACAATGGTGCAACACTCTTGGAAATCTATCCAACATATCCTCCCTTCCATAAGTCAAAGCCAAGTCAGAAAATGAGGCTGCATAAAAATCTATCCAAGTAATCTTTAAAAAAATTTTTTCAACCTTAAAAATAAATTAAAATTGCCTTATCCCCAACTAAATATCCAGTATTATTTATTTCCAATTGTCGTTCAAATACAGCACCAAAATCTTCAATAATACACGGCCAGAAACACTGTTCTGCCAATACGGGTAACTAAAAAAGTTTAAAATTAATTAAATTAAATTTATTTCCCTGCCTTGTCAGCCGGTATTAACCCTAAAAGACAATTTACAAAAGGTTTGATATATTCAAAGTGGTCGTTTATACGTTGAGCTAATTGCATGCAGAGTGCTTTTTCTTCTGCAGTATCGGATTCTAGGCCTATTGAATTTTATGTTTATTTTTACAATTTGTAGTTGTTTCAATTTTATTTCCTCTTGTTTGTAATTCAAGTTTACTTTTTCATTTTTACAATTTCTTTCATGTTTTTACAATCCAAGTTTATTTTTAAATTTTACAATTTCTGAGTTTTTACAATTTAATCCAAGTTTATATTTTACAATTTGTAATTCAAGTTTATTTGTTTTCTTTAATTCAAGTTTATTTTTTTACAATTATTTTTTACAATTTGTATTTTCTAACAAGTTTATTTTTATGTTTTACAATTCATTTTATGTTTTTACAATTCAAGTTTATTTTTTAATTTTACAATTTCTGAATTTTTACAATTTAATCCAAGTTTATATTTTACAATTTGTAATTCAAGTTTTTTTTTAATTTGTAAACAAAGTTTAATTTATAATAGCCTTCGTTTGTAATTAATTTTTAAATTGTAATTGTAATTTTTTTATTTTTTACAATTCAAGTTTAATTTGTAATTTTATATTTTCCCTTATATTCTGATTTATTATTCTAATAAACATACCAAATTTCTCTCCTAAATAGGCTAAAATAACAGAAGTGTAGCATATTTCAAATTGTTTATCTACTGTAAGTTTGGGGAGGTGGGGCAATGGAAGTTCTAAAAAATCTTTTTTAATTCATTAATTTTCAATTATTTATTTACTGTCTTTAGCTTTTGTAAATTCCAAAAAATTTTCTCTAAAATCTTCAAAGGGTTGTTGGACATAGTTAAGTAGTAGCCGTATTGATTCTGCCCGTCCTCGAAGATTTAAATAATGAATTTTAAATTTAGGCATTCTTTTTGGCTGTTTGGTTGTTAGACGGCGACTGAAAAATTTAAAAAATATTTTTTGCCATTTTGAAATTTTGGACAGTTTTGAAAGGGTACTAGAGCTGTCCGAAACCGAAAATTTTCCAAGACTCACGACCAAGACCGAAAAAAACCCAAGAAAAGTTTTGAGTCAAGAATCAAGACCAAGAGACTCGGACAGCTCTATAGGGTACACCCCAAGGTACCACAGAGCCACAACTTTGTTCAAGTGATTAAATCCGGGATGCCCTGGCATGTTTCGATGCACCTCAACGAGCTGAGTCGAACTATACCAGAGGCGTCCCGGATTCGACAATGTTGAACGAATTTATAGCTCTACGGTACCTTGGCCTGCTCACGTTTTGAAATTTGAACATTTCGAAAAGTGACATTTTGAAAAGTTACCATTTTGAAATTTTGGACGTTTTTAAATTTGGACATTTCGGGATGTATCGATTTGACATTTATAATTGACAGGTGTCAATGTGACACTTTGATTGACATGTGACACTTTGTCATATGTCAGATTGACATTTTTTTAATTTTTAACATTTTGACTCTTTCCATTTTAAAATTAAAAAAAATTTATTTTTCAAAAATTAACCTCGGAGAGGCCGCTTTCCACGCTGAATGTACCCCAACCGATTGTTGTGATGGATGTCTTAAAGACTGATTAAAAGGTATTACCCAAGAAGAGTTTGTAGTAGTTGTGGTTGCTGTAGTAGTGCCTTCTAATGGAGAAGATGGGGAACGAAGTAAACGAAGTTTTGAGGGATTTTTGGCAATTTGTTCCCAATAAATAGCTTTATTGTTTAAATTATTGGTTTGCATTTTTGGGGGATTTTTAGAGGATTTTTAGAGGGATTTTAGGAGGATTTTATGTGATTTTTTTGGAGGAATTTTTGGAGTTTTAGGAGGATTTTTTGAAAGTTTAGGGGGATTTTTTGGAGATTTTTTAGGGGCTTTTTAGGGGGATTTTAGGTGATTTATCGGGATTTTTGAGGATTTTTAGAATTTTTACGGCTTTCTCCTTCAATTTCAGGCTTTTTTTTATTTTTTAGACTTTAAGGGGGTATTCTTCCTTTCTATCAATTTTTTTATTATTAAAAAAAATTTTTTTGTGATTGAGGTTTTGAGGGTTTTTTAAACTACACTAAAGTCAATATCTACTCGTTTTCTCTCTTTTTCTCCTTTTTTCCACTAAATTCCCCCTTTCCTCAAATTACCTTTCATCTAGCTAATTTTTTAGCTTATTACTACAAACATATTATTTTGCACTTTTCAAGTTTAAACTCAAAAATGCTGTAAAAGTGTCATTTTTCATTTAGTTATAAAAATAAGTTTGAGTGCAAAATAATAAGTTTGTAAACTTAAAAAAAGTTGGAAAATATAAGAGGGAAAAGGTTGGAAAAATAAAATAATTACAAATTGTAAAAAAAGGTTGGAAAAGTTGGATTTAATTTGTAATTGTAAAATAGGTTTTAATAAATTTCGCAAATTGTAAAAAAAGTTGGAGACTAAGTTTGTAAAACAAGTTTTAGAAGGTATATGGAGAGAGCAAGTTTTACAAATTGTAAAAGGTTGCAATTGTAAAACAATTAAAAAATTTTTTACAAATAGTAAGTTGGAACTTTAGTACAAGGTGCCTTAAAGAAGGCTACTCTATTAAGATGTAACCTTCTTTAAAAATTCATAACTCTATTTTAAATTAACCTAAAAATCTGGTTTATATATCATTAAATAGAACAGATACTAGGCTTTAAAATAAAATATAATTTAATTTAAAATCTTACATTTAAAGTTTATTTAAAATTAAAAGAATGCATAAATAACAGCACTTTTAGACCTCACCTGTTTTAATTGTTTAAAATCCTTTTTGCTTAGATTAATCGATGGAAGAAGGATTTTGGGGTTTTATTCCCTTTGTTTTTACCCCAACACTGCCCTCCCATCCACAAAATTTAATTTATCCAGTATAATTAATTATTTGAGTAAATAAAGGAGAGGGGGAAATAAAGCATTTTAAGCCATTAAAGCTTAAAAATTAGAAAGAAAAAATTTAAAAAAAATAAAAAAATATTGCAAAATCTAAATTTTAATAGTTAGTTGTCACACAAATTAAATCCTAATTTTAGATTAAATTTTTAAGCTAATTTTAAGATTAGATGAGAATTAAGTTAGTAATTACCTGTCTCTTATGCACACATAGGCGCTTCCTTGTTCATTATGCCTAGTCCCTATAATTAAAATTTTAAGCTTAATTATACGTATTTTAGAATTTTCTTAAAAATATTTTTTTTATTTTTGCAATTTTAACAATTTACTACATATATTATTAAATTTTAATTTTTGAACACATTTATAATAAATTTCCAAATTTATTTAATTTCAAAAATAATATATGGTGTAAAATTAAATTTTTTTAAACATCAAAATTTATTTCCTTTTTATCCACCTTTAAATTGGAAATATTAGAGACATTCGCACAATACTACAAGAACTCAGACTTTCATATATTTTACTCACAAGACTAGAAAATAACCATTTTAAGATACGCTTTATAATTTCATAAGTCAATGGTATGAGGACTTTGCCTAAGATTTACCTTCTATTTAACGGACACCTCATTATTGGATGCATTTTTAAAAGCTCAAAGGTTTATCTTACTATATCGAGGTACATATGTCCGAATTTCGTGGCAGACTTATCAAAATTTTATTTTATTTTTTGCTATTTTTATTCTTTCCAACTTTACGGTAGATTATTAATTTTGAGCGTTAGTTAGGTCCACATTTTAATTCATACCCCAGTAATGGATAAACCTTCTATTTAGTACATAGTATCATTCAATAGAGAATTTAATTTACTACAAGATAAGAGTTAAAATCAATTTTTATTTTGATTAGAAAAAAAGTTATGGCTAATCAAGTCCCTTTTTTAGACGTAAATTAAGCTTCTTTCTATTTTTAGATAAACAGAAATCTAATTATTTTTTATATACCTATGCTTATCTTTAAGTTTATGCCTTTAAAAGGAACTCAATTTATTTATTCTTTGCCCAAATTAATTTTACTTGTTTATTTTTGTAGCTAAAATACAAATAACTTTGTCAAGCTTATCTATCGTCACACAAATCTTCCACAAAGCTTAACTATTTAGAAAATTTAGATAGAAAGCCAATTTTGGCACCATTCAATGCAGCTCTTCAATACGCATAGAATGGTACCAAATTCGACAGGATTGGGCATTTCTAGACCGAGATAGAAGCCTTGGAGTAGACTTGGTCCGCGCTGAGTAGTTAAGTTAGCTTAACAAAAATAAAAATATTATAAATTTTGTAGTAAACAAAGAAAATATTTTTTATTCTGTTAGCTATAAAATAGTTATATAAAAATGTTTTTAATTATTTTTAATTTTTATATTTTTCCATTTTTAGACTTAACAGCTTTTACCTAAATATTTGTATTTTTATTCCCATCAAAGTGAATTTCCCCCATAAATATCTCGTCCAAAAATTTTTTTTCAATCATTAAAATTTTTAAATTTATATTTTTAATAATTTTTTATTATTAAATAAAATATTTAATATTAAGTAAAATATTTTTTGACTAAAATTTATTTAGGAAAAATTAATTTATCCTGCGCCGAAAAGGCATATTTACCTCACTAACGCTTACATTAATCCCCATAAAATAGCCTATAGATCTACTAGGACTCTAAAAATTTGCCAGAAAATATTCCATTGAGTTGACTAACTCTCTTAAAAATTTCAGAATTTTCGGACTCTTTAAAAAATTCTGATCAGAAAAAAACCAAGCCTTGTTCAAAAATTATCACTATTTCTATTCTCAGTCAAAATTTTTATATTTTAATTCCTATATCGCCAAAAAAAAATTTTTTTACATTTGTATATTTGTGTTTTAATTTCTTAAATAAATACCTAATTTATTCCAAATTTATTTTACATAAATTAATATTAAATTACTTTTATTACTTTTAATTTTAAGGGGCGTTTATTAGCATTAAAAAGACTAATTACGCCTGCTTTTTCCACCATAAAATTGCCTCTAGATCTAATAGAGCTGTAAAATTTTGCAGAAAAATATTTATTGAGTTGGCTATCCCAGCTAAAAAATTTCAGAAATTTTCAGAATTTTTTAAAAAAATTCTGGTCAAAACTAGCCAAATTTTTCATCAAAAATGTCGATTTTTTGTATATTTTTCATAATAACTTTGAAAATAAAAATCAGAAAATTCTGAAATTTTCAGAACAGATAGCTAACTATTTAAAAAACATCTCCACAAAATTTCACAGCTCAAAGACCTCTAGTTTTGGAATTATGCAAGTTCGCGCCCACGCGGCGCCAAACTACTGCACTAACGCAAATATGCTAATTAAAGCTAAAAATAAATTTTTAAAAAGTTTAATTAACCAAATAAACTTATTTTATTTTATCTTAAATTCTCACATTTTGCTCTTTAATTGACGTATATTTCAAAATTGTAGTCAAAGAATAAATTATTCGAGAATTTTTAATTAAACACTTAAAGTACTTTTTATTCTATACAACTTATATTAATTTTTCTATAAATTTTTTTCCTTGTTAAAATTTTTGCTTTTTATTAATTAGTATCACGCTACTTCAAAAATTTAATAAAAAAATTTAAAAAAAAATTTATTGAAGAAAACCCCAATTCCATCCTGCGCCGAAAAGGCGCCTTTAATACAAGGAAAAGGCACCTTCTTCCTCTTGAGAAATAGTAGGGTCATTTCGGCGCAGACTAGAAATTTTATAAATAAATTCTTTCCAATTTCAGAAATAAAATTTCAATTAAAATGGCTTTTGTTCCAGAAAATAATTGTACAGCTGCGCTGCTTTATGTCCAATTTACTCCTCTTTATATTGTCCATTGGTTGCAATCTTTACTAACTTTGGCTACGATGACATCTTGCGGGTTAAATTTGGCATACTCCTTAAATTCGGGAGTAAAAGAGACGATGAGCTTTCATAAAAATGTTAAAGTAGGTCTTTTGGAATATTAAAATGGCAGTCAGGCGTAACTGACAAAATATCATCCCATTACAAATTTAAAAAAATTTTGGCAAAAAATTATTTATAAAAAGCCAATTTTAGCCTGCGCCGAAAAGGCGCTATTATCATAGGCTTAGCGCCTTTCTCCTTGTCAGAATAGTGGGGTCATTTCGGCGCGGACTAAAAATTATATAAAAAATATGTATAACTGTCGTTTTTCAGATAATTCTTGTGGGGGCCTTGTTTCTCTACATGATTCACTCACTTGTAATGTTCGGGATGCATTTTGGATATATTGTAGGTTTAAAGACTTGGAATTATAATTTCCTCATTTAAAGGTTCTCTTTCATTTGTCACACTTCGCAACTGACTACTGTATTTATCCTATTACTGCATGGAAGTGTCTCTTATTCAGAATCCCGTCTTATATTACTGGTAAACAATTTTTTTATTTTGTTGATTAGAGGCCTTCTCGAATATAGGACCATCAGCTATCCCTGAAAACCTCTCTGAATTTTCTTCTCTCCAATAGAAAAATATATAATTATTTTTATAATAAAGATGTTCCCTTCGGACTACTATATAAATCGAAGGGAACATATGTTCTTTCAAATCACCTTCAAAAGTTTGATTATTCAAATATATGCCCTTCTACATAATATGAATTTACTTTCAAAATATCTTACTGATATACACGACCTCTCCAATAAACGCCTAATTCCTTTGTCAATTATACATTGACATTGACTAGCCCAATAAAAGTCCGTCTTGATGGAGACCCTTTCCAATTGTGGACCT